AAAAGGGATGTACCCGCCAACGTTGGGTGGATATCATCCGAGCGGATGAGACCGGGCTTTCCCCAAAAGGCACTCCAATTGTCAACATGAACAACACCACTTCGAGGGCACCAGCCAGACAGCCAGCGGTTGAAAGCCGAGTGTCTGCTGAATGCTTCTGCACTGCTAGTGCTAGGTAGGGGCCCAGAGAAGATGACAGTGTCGGCCATTGTGCTAGCCAGCTTGCACACGGCGGCGACTTGCAGCTTCAACACCTCGGACTGTTTCCGCCGAACGTCATTACCACCCGCGTGAATAACAATTCGACGGAAACGCTGCTTGAACTGAGCCTGCAGGACAATGCGAGGGGAATAAACCGTCCGCGGATCTCATACTTACCCACAGCGCCAGAAGACCAGGGACACCCAACGGGACCAACCGGTACCGGCACAAGGAGGCCGGGATGCGCACGGCTCCCACCGTACCGGGCTAGACCGGCCCGTATGCGCAGCGGCCGCGACGAGACGAGCATCGGGCAAACCGCGGAGAGCCGCAAAGGAGGAGAGCGGCAAAGACCCCAACGGAAAAAAAAACCCACAGCACGAGACCCCGCAGCAGGTGCAGCCCCCCACAAAAAGAGGAGCAGACCCCACGCAGCAAGACAGAGGACAGCAGGGACACGCACGAGTAACCCCCCCCCGTGAGTAGATGACTTGCGAGGCTTCAGGAGGCGGTAGTGGGCGTTGCTCCGTTTTTATGCGGCTGCGAGTCGGTTTGGAAGGGGCGTCTCTTTCCTGGAGGGGGTAAATTTGGTTAACGTCTACTCAAATGAAAAATATGGAAAAAAGACAAAGTATGAAAAATTGTGAATACATTTGTAAACAACCAACTCTGGCTCAGACATGATGCATCTGTAATTGCACCTTTTACATACCTTTGCAACTTGTCACTAAAAACAGGGAACCTTTTCCTGAAAAAAAATGAAAACAACCAAATTAATACCTCTTTACAGAAACAACACAACTTCTCAAATTATAGACCCGTGTCTTTGCTACCACAGTTTTAAAAAAATCTTGAAAAAAAGTATTTGCAATGTGAGTGATAGCTTTTTACAAAAGTAAATGTGTTAATTCAAAATGAGTATGGCTTTAGGAAAAAACACTCAACTGCTGTGGAAAATAATGGAACTGACAGAGAAAATATGCAGATACATATGTTGTAAGTATCTTACTAGACCTGCAAAAGGCTTGCTCATACATGGATCTCTAGTTATCTAGAAAATTGTAAACAGTTTGTGCTGATAAATTGTAAAAATAATAAATTACTCAATACCAATGTTGTTTTTATGATGACTTTCCAAAAGTATCAACTATTGTGCTGTCCTCACGATACGTGCCCATGTGAAGCTGGAGCGAACGGGAAAGAAAACTCTGTAGACAGGCTTACTTTTCTTGTTTCATAGAGAATCTCTTGCGTATGGTTCATTGCATCCCTAAATACAAAAATAAAAAATCCCGTAACTGAAACAATAGAAAAACTATCAACGTTTGTACACACGGAATTGCGTACAGCGCTAGCTAATCAGATATGCCCAAACTTAGCACTTTGGAGTAGAATAAAACACTTTTGTGGCCCTAACAATGTGCTTGTGAGATTAAATAATACTTACAAAAGACGAAAGTTTGCCACAGCTCAACACATGAAACAAAGATTGTTACAAAGACTAACCATACAAGAGCGCTTTACTCTGCTCGACCAGGAAACTGATGTCTTACTTTGTTTCCCCTTATATTTAGCACAACACACCAACTATAGCTTATTATCACACTGGGCTGAAGAAGGCGCTGCGGGCCCAAACACGTTGGTCCCTTCTCTGTTAAAGGATTTTTATCAGAGTCCTCGGATTTCACCCTGTCTTCCATTTCCCATGGAAAAAGGGAATCTTTGTTTTTAAATGTAACTTATTACATAGCATTTAAGAAGACTAGACGGGGGAATTCAAAAGGGTAAAAGAAACAACATTTTTGGGAGTCATCATCGTTGAGGAAAGGAAAATTAGCCAAATCACTTGGTGTTTTACACTTTCCAAACCACTCAGCATTACTGACCTTAGATAATACAATGATTATACCGACCTCACCTATGTTGTCAACATTTGGAGACAACGTTTAAAACACATACACAGCCTATAGTTATTTTACATAAAAAAGACCAGAAGGAAAATATATCGAGATTCATCAAATCCTGTTTTTGAGTGCTTTGTGTTAAATTGTATGTTATAGTGGATTATACTATTTATCATACATTGTATAAGGTAAATTGCAAAACATTATCAGCAAACCTCTAAGAGAACTTTGGAAAAAAGACAATGTCGATACAATCTGTAAGTAACTGACATCTTTAATAAAACCTAGATTCAGAACTACATTCATGGGAAGAATGGTCTCAGTGGAAAGGAATCAACTTGTGGAACTTAATAAAGACATTAAAGAGTCAAAATAAAAATCATGGTTTTTAAGAAACAACAAAACTACTATACTCAATAAATATGAGAGTGTTACATAATAAGAAAATCTGAATTTTAATTAATGGTTTGTGTTTTGGTAAAATGTTGTACATAATGTTTAATTAATGGTTTGTGTTTTGGTAAAATGTTGTACATAATGTTTAATTAATGGTTTGTGTTTTGGTAAAATGTTGTACATAATGTTTAATTAATGGTTTGTGTTTTGGTAAAATGTTGTACATAATGTTTAAGGTATGTAATATGGATGTTTAATCAGTCTTTAAGATGACTATTTATGGTAACGAGTGTCAATTGTATATCTGAGAGATGTACGCCTTTAAATCATTTGATCTCGCGTAAAAGAAAACCTGTACCAAGGACCCTAGTTTCACATCTACCTACTCTGTTTCAAACTGTGTACATATATGTATCTAGGGTTCTTATTTTTATTGTATTGGACAATTAAATTGATATAGAGACTACTACCTTCTGAATAGGGTTAGGATTATAACGCATTAATTACGATTGATAAACGCCACAAAAATATATGTGTTTTTGCTCCACGGAACCTTTGTCATCAGGTGAGTTTCAGACGGATCGTTCATACTGTGTTTTAGAATAAGCTCGGTGTGACCCTCCCACATGATAGGCTGGGGCAGTCCATCCTCCCACCCGTTCAGCATGATTAGCTATTAACGCGTCTTCCCTTAACTAGGGCATCACTGTTTGTTTTAGAATAAGCTCGGTGTGACCCTCCACATGTGTTAACGCTAAACGCTGCTCAATAAACCACTTTTAGACAAGTGTGAACCACACTTACAGACCAGGCAGAGGCTATTTGTTTTAGAATAAGCTTGTGTGACCCTCCACATGTGTTACGCTATGCGCTGCTCAATAAACCACTTTAGACAAGTGTGAAACATTTACTTTATCACACACACACACTCTGGGTCAACAGAGGACAACTCATTACACATTCAAAAGTGACACCTCTTTGAAAAAATACAGTGCAGTACCACCTTTTCACCACTTGCTCAATACTGCCGTCAATTATGTCTACTGATATGCTTTACACGACACGTCATACATACATTCACGGTGTTGCCAGAGGTCAACTAGTGCCTCCATCTCTGATGTCCACCGAACTTTCTGGTGCGCCATGCCGGTGACTGTTTTTTTTTTTTTTACGGTGTTTCCTTGCCGCCTCTTCTCATCTTCTGATTGGCTACACGCCGCAGTCATGGCAACGCGCTCGTCTGTCCTCGGGGGACACCACACACGAAGAGAAATCGGGCCAAAACAATCCAACATGTTGGATATCCCCGATATTGAGATCGGAGCAGTCTCAAAGTCCTTCCGGGCGACGAGCACAGTCTTAACACACCACACACGGCAGGAAAATCCATCAGATTTTTTGTTACGATATTCGGAGCTATCTTACGATTGTCGTAGGGGTAAATCGGGTCCAAAATCGGCCCAATTATCCTGCCGTGTGAACCAGGCTTTAGTTTCACTGTAGAGGTCCCATTCAATAGTACAAAAGTTTATTTTGATTTAACAATTAAAAGAGCTGAGTCCTAGTAAATAAAATCAAACAACAAGCGCACTAGCAAGCACACCACACGCACACCATCAAACACACTACACACTACACACTGTTTGTCTTGAGAAGCTCTTACCATCAGAATTTGGGCTTTTGCACATGCTGAACTCATAAAGTTGTCTGTGTAAAAAATGTGTTTGGAAGTATTTGTATTCCTCCACCCTCTACTTGGGTAACTTGCCCTCATCCATAAAAATGTAAATTACAGTGGATGTGTCTTGGTGGCAGATGAGTCCACAGGGGAGGATGGAAGAGATTATGAGAATAGAACATAATAGATTATTTTTATTGTCTACCAAGATAGACATTCATTTTTGGCTTACGTCACATAAACACAAACCAAGAAAGACATCCAAGAAAAAAATGCATGTGCTCGTCGTGGTACAATGATATCATACAAGGAACTTTTAAACAGAAGGGGCGGAGTTACGTTTGTGCTAGAAAATGCTGATATTAGCGTGGATGGATCGAAAACAACTCCTGGTCTGTGTTTGATGAGGATTATTCTTGTAACAGGGTCAAAACCTCATTGCTGTCATTCTATATTTGTGTTTATAATTCTCAATGCTGGACCGTTGTGGTAAAGAGGGAGCTGAGCCGAAAGGCAAAGCTCTCGATTTACCGGTCATTCTTCGTTCCCTCCCTCACCTATGGTCATGAGCTTTGGGTAATGACCGAAAGAACGAGATCGCGGATACAAGCGGTCGAAATGAGCTTCCTCCGCAGAGTGGCTGGGCGCTCCCTTAGAGATAGGGTGAGGAGCTCAGTCACACGGGAGGAGCTCGGAGTAGAGCCGCTGCTTCTCCACGTCGAGAGGAACCAGTTGAGGTGGCTCGGGCATCTGTTCCGAATGCCTCCTGGAACTGGGAACTTGAGGGAGGACAACAGTTATAATTGAATGTCATGTTTCAGGAGTCCATGAGGTCAGCATCCGTTTGGACCTGGAGACTATTTTTCAGTTCAGCCATCTTGTCCTCACCTTCAAGGTAAGAGATGTCGGTAAATGTGCATGTTACATTGGTGATACTACTACTACACAATTTTTACATTCTGAAAAAATAAAACTTAACATAAACTTGTATATGTTATGTATGTTGGGAAAACTTGCTAAGAAGTACTGTACAGATGATGGGTGAGAAACCTTCCTTTGCATAAACTTGTATAGTGGTATAAAAGTTTACATTCAAGAAAGCTTAAAGCCACCCTGTGTAATTTTTACAGCTGCTCCATTTAAAAAAATGGACACTTATAAGTGGTGGATGAGGGACAAAAAGGATGCGACAAGCGCATTTTTGTTTCACATGAGCTACTGATATTGTTGCTTTCACCGTGCCTTCACAAGTTGGAGGAAGGAACCATGGAGGACCACAGTTATGTAAAAGAACAATCTATATTATAAAAGATCCATGGTAAAACTCAGTGGAGCCTCTGTGCAGGGTGCCGCGTCTAAACCATAGACTGCATATATTAACGGACGTAGTAACACTAATCTCCGCCGTTCTAACTAATGGGCCAAAAAATTGTGCTTTCATGGAGTGATTCAAAATGCCCGCGGGGGCTGGGAAATGTGAAAAAACGCATCTGTGCATGCGTCAGCTGCACGAGCTCCGTTCATTTAAACGAGTGGCTAAAGAAGCGAATAAACTAGACTGGTCCAAAAAAAATCACCCCCCTCAGCATTGACACACATGTGGAACGGAGCTTTGGGCCAAGAGCCAACTTTTGGACCATCCTGTAAAGATGTTTTCGAGAGGAAGATGCTATATGCTAGCATTGGCTAATTCTTATTCCGGGTCCACCCCCATTGGCTCGAGGTGGTATTGCAAGCATGTCAGCGCACATCATTTTGGCCACTTTTGAGCATGGACCCGCCCCCACTGGTTTAAATGCGGTCTTGTTTCCATGTCACCTCCACGCGACTGTCAAGTGCCTGAGACATTTGGAAAGATCTGGTCATTTATCAAACTAAAGTATTCTTTCCTTGACAGTCTGGTGAATGACTGAGGGTTGAACTCAAAGGCTTCCGTACTATATTTGACTGCAATATAAGATCTCAACGCTAGATGGCACTAAAAATTACACAGTGTACCTTTAATTCACAGCAATGTGTTTATTACATTTCTTTATCCACAAGATGGTACTATAAATAGGGCAAAATACCTCTGCTTTTTTAATTAATAACTTTGCTTTTAAGGCATAAGAGACCAGTGAAATTATTTTTTAATATGAAACTATTCTCTCTTACTGTATTGTTTTGTAGAGCTTTCGTCCAGCTGCCATGTTGGTGGAGAGGTCTCAGGATTCCGGTCGCTCCTGGAAAGTTTTTCGTTACTTTTCAGAGGATTGTTCGCTTCATTTCCCTCAAGTCCCCAAACAGATTGCAGATAGCATCGACGACGTGGTCTGTGACAGCAGGTACTCCGGCTCTGAGCCCTCCACTGAAGGAGAGGTGAGTTCCACAATGTATTTAATAATATCCATCATATAATATAGATGTTTATACAGGTCTTACATAATTAAAAAATAGGATTTTGGATTGGATCAAGTTTAATATGCACAGTACATTTGGGAGGTTGTGGTGATACATTTTTGTCCCTTCAAGATATACAAGTGACACTCTGAAAATTAGAATATGGGTCAATGTACTTCTATATTTCATCTTTCAATGTGAAAACAATGTATGACAGACTAAGTGAGATATTTGAGATTTGAGCCTTTATTGGTTGTAATCTTGATAGAAAGATTCGCGCTGCAAAGATGGGCGCAAGTACATGCAGCGCGGCACACCGAACCACTGTCATCAGTCCAAAATACAGCAGGAGCCTCGCATAGTTTTGCAGCGCAGTGATGTGCCCTTCAGTCTTTCATGGTATTTTTTTTTGTGCTAACAGTCTTTGGCTCTAAATCAGCTCCACACGCCTTTGGTCGGTCAAGCCTTCTACCGAGGAGCTGCATGCTTCAATCACTGCGCTTGCGTTGTGTAGGGGCCGTAAATATAATCATCTACATTATAACAAACAAAGACTTGGGATTTGTCACTTTGCATGTAAAGAGTCTATTTAGAGAATATATTGGTTTCATATTTAAATTTGAATTACACAAATAAACACACTTTTGAACAATAATCTGATATTCCGAGTTTCACCTGTAATTGAAATATTGAATACATTTTGCAAACAAATGAGACCACAACAGATTTCCTTTATCTATTATTTTTAGTTTTTGCAAACATGTGCATTATTTGACACTTTGAGCGAGTGAATGTGTTCCTCTCTTTTCACTTCTCTGTCTGAAAGTTAAAAAAGTTTAGATGGAATATTACTTTTTGTAATCTGATGACGGTATCTCAGGTATCTTGGTTACTGAAAACAAAATTACAAGATCATTCTTTAATTGTCTCACAACAATTTTATCTCATGGCGGCACTTTATTTCACCCCATCCAAAAGAATAACAAATTAAATACTTTCAAAAACTACATTATTATAAAACGACATATTTACGGCAGATCCTTTTCCACCAAACATAAACTGTTGACATTATTGTGGCTAATTGACTTGGTGTTTCTCTCCAGGTCGTGTTGAAGGCTCTGGACCCAATATTCCAGATTGAAAATCCCTATGCTCCTCACATACAAGGTGAGTGAATGTAGAGAACTGAAAAATCAGATGTTGTCGTTTTTCAGTGAGTGACAGTTTGCCGCCAAAAGTTGAATGAAAATCAATAATGGAACAACATTGCATTTTGTTCATAATTTTAAAGCTACATTTCTCAGGAATTTCTTGGGGGCGACAGTAGCTCAGTTGGTAGAGCATTGGCCTTTGGGCCTGAAGGTTGTGGGTTCGAGCCCACCATAAGACCTACTTCACGACTCCCACTGATGACTGCTGTCGTTGTGTCCTTGGGCAAGACACTTAACCCTACTTTGCCCAAAAGCCCCCACTGAAAGATCTCAGCTCCTGTGGACTCACCACCTGCAGGAGGATCAGTGAGGGGCTGGTGCTAAGTGTACTGGGTGCAGCTCTGACTGCCACCCCCCCGACCCAGAAATGGATTAAGGGGAAGAAAATGGATGGATGGATGGATTTCTCAGGAAAGGGAAACAACCATATTACTTTATTTAGAAAGTTAATTATAAAACACAAATAATTGGGCATAGTACTATTGAGCTGATTTTCATGAGTTGACGTGTCGTATGGGCGTACATGGTTTTAGCACACTGCCCTTTGTTGCTGTGACCTCACACCTTTGACCATTGCCACTTTTCTAAATGATTTTTGTTGTTTTTTGCCAGCACGGGAAAAGCCTTTGGGAATATAGTAGTTTTAAATTGTGTTAAATAGATTTTTAGTCATGAAACATATATCTTCTATTCTGTTCCGTGGCAAAATACCGCAGGAACACAATAGAGATGCCAATTTTAAAACTTAAACTCACTTTTCATTAACACTATCGGTGTGTTTGTGTGTCTGTGTCTTTATTGTGCCCCCACTGTTGTAATAATAATAATAATAATAAAGTAATAATAATAATAATAATAATAAAGTAATAATAATAATAACATAATGAATGGACATTTTTTTTTTGTTGATATAATTTAAATGGGGGATAGGAAGGGTTCAGTGACAAGGTACAGACTTCATCACAATCAGATTTACACCATATCAATCAAAATCAGAATCAGAATTCCTTTTATTGCCATTTTTGTTAACAAGAAGTCACAAACTATGAATTTGATTTGGCTCAAGTAATAACAAGTTGTAAAAGTAAAAATAGGTAAAGGTATGCATGCAAATTATTCAAAAGATTTCTTAAAATTACTACTAGAGTCAAGTGCACCAAGTCCACACAATATAGACATTTAGCAGTGATCAGTTAAGAAGTGTTCATGATTCTGATTGCAGAGGGGAAGAAACTGTTGTTGTGGCGGGAGGTTGTGTCCATTGTATTCTTTTTTCTTTCCATGATTGCTGGTGAGGCACTGCCTGAACTGCCTCCCCTGGCCGCACGTAACTGGTATGGTTAATAATCACTAGAATACAACTTTTCTCTATTTTCTTTTTTCTTTCAGAATTGATCACAATGACAAACTTGAGGATAAATTTCACTCGGCTCTTCACGCTGGGAGACACTCTATTGGGCCGAAAGCGCAGGAATCCTCAGAACAAGTATTACTATGCTCTGTATGACATGGTGGTGAGAGGCAGCTGCTTCTGTAACGGACATGCAGCCCTGTGCACTCCGGCCAATGGCAGAGGGGACGTCTTCACCACGCCCGGAATGGTACTGACCAAAACACAGCTTTCTAATATATATACTGCTATTTACTATAGATAGATAGATTGATAGATGGACACTTTATTGATCCCCTTAGGAGAAATTCACGTGTCCTGTAGCAGCAACAATACATCCATCCACACGAACAAAACAAATACATTGATCATTCTAAAAAGCTAACAATAGTAATGTAATAATAAGTAACAGTGCTTTAGGTCACAGCAGCAGAGGTGGTGTTGCCTCTGGGTGGAGCAGGACGGGTCACAGCGGCAGGGATGGTCTAGCATCTGGGTGGAGCAAGACAGGTCAAAGCAGCAGAGCTGCTTGGTTCAGACCGTTTTATCTGCTCTGGTCCAAAGTAAAATGCTAAATGCTTTGTTAGCATTTTTCTAAAAGTTCCTCCAGTAGATTTTTGCCAGATCCGCTTGTTTCGGACTATGGATCCTCTATGCTCCGGTCTGGACCAGTGTAAAACCATGAACACTGTACTGCAGCAACCTTTCAGTTAGAAAAAAATAAAGACATAAATAAAATACTACTACTATATACTTACATGGCAAGAAATTAGATCACAGTTTACAGTTGGCATCACACACTCATACAGCAGCAGTGGAGTGTGAAAAGGAGGGCTCAAAATCGCCCAAACAAAATGTAAACACCAAGCAAAACCAACGGTCAGCTCTTTTAAAATTATTGTATTGTAAGTAACAACAAGCTTCACTTTTTTATTAAGAAGCTAAGAAACAATAGCTAACACTTTACCATATGGACCAATGATTCTGGCATTTACAGGTGCATCATTTCTTGATTTGACCAAAGGTTTTGATTTGGTCGATCACTATTTACAGTACTTTTGGACAAACTTCACAATCTGGGTCTATCCAGATCTGCTTTACTTTGGTTCAATTCCTACCTTCACTCAACAGTGTGTGTCCTTTGGGGGCAGCCGGTCAAATCTCGCAGGCATAGACAAAGGTATTCCACAAGGTTCCTCTTTGGGCCCTTTACTTTTTTCCATTTTCATTAATGACCTCCCGAGCATCTGTTCTAATCGTGACATCCAATTATATGCAGATGATACTATTATTTACTGTTCAAAACCTAACGTCTCAGACATTTGCAACTCCCTTCAATATGATTTTGATTTAGTTCAACATTGGCTCTTGTCCAATAAACTCATTTTAAATACAACCAAATCATATGCCAAGCTTTTTCAGAAGACAAACAAATACTTACCTGAGCTCAACCTTCACTTTTTAGATCTTTCTCCTGTGAAATGTGTGGATGAGTTCAAATACCTGGGCCTTTGGCTGGATTCAAATCTTTCTTTTAAAACTCATATTCATAAGACCGTCGACAAATTAAACTATTCTTTAAAACGTTATATCGCTCCATCTACTGCTTTAATTTTTCTGTCAGGAAAAGGCTTGTTTCTCAGTTATTGCTTCCAATCCTTGAGTATGCCGATATTATTTACCAAAATACAACCGCCACATGTATTTTGATGTGTCTTCTGTTGTATTATATTTGTGTTGTGTTAAGTATTATAATGTATTTATTTTGTATTTTATTTTACTGTAGTTATAGGGGGGAGTGGGTAACCTCTGAGAGCAGCGTGTGCGTGTGAGTGAATGTGTTGAGCTTTTGTCCTGTTTTCTTTTTTGCGTTTGTTTATTTTTGAATTTGATATTAAGGACCCCATCGAAAACAAGAGGATTCATCTCAAGGGGTTATTCCTCTTAATAAACGTTAATAATATTTGTTAGAAGGATATGAAGGATAAAAAAGTGCTCTCTGCATGTAACTTCCTATTCTACCACCAGGAAGAGGAGTTGAGTTTTATTTTTTTTCTGAAACATTACCAGCAGATGGGAACTTAGCGATCCAAAGTAGTAGTATTTAGCCAGGAAATGTAACTTTAGCTTGATTTAACTCCTTCCAGCAGCTTAAACAGCTGAATGTCCATCCATCCATCCATTTTCTTCCCCTTAATCCATTTCTGGGTCGGGGGGTGGCCAGAGATGCCACCCAGTCCACAGAGCACCAGCCCCTCACTGATCCTCCTGCAGGTGCTGAGCCCACAGGAGCTGAGATCTTTCAGTGGGGGCTTCAGGCAAAGTGGGGTTAAGTGTCTTGCCTAAGGACACAACGACAGCAGTCATCAGTGGGAGTCGTGAAGTAGGTCTTACGGTGGGCTTGAACCCACGACCTTCAGGCTCAAAGGCCAATGCTCTACCAACTGAGCTACTGTCGCCCCAACAGCTGAATGTATACTTTAAAATAGTTTAACATAATCGAGAGTATAATATTTAACATTAATATTGTACAAGTGACTGCACTTGCCAGTACAGATTGATTGAGTCTGTTGGTCTTTCTTCCTCAAATATCTGTGGAAGCTTTGTTCTCTGGTCTTTGGAAGCATATACTGGGTGTTCACTGTGACCCATCTTTGTGACTAGGTTCACAGCTTCAGGTCCCTTTTTTGTATCCTCTCCAGCTGGGCTACTTGGTTTTGGTTACGCAGACACGTCTATACTCCAAACACGGCCGCACCAATGTGCTGTAGGTTACAGTTAGGTGTCAACCTGGTTCCAGAAAGGACCAGGCAGGAGCTCAACAGACTTGACCCATTTCTTCACCTGGAGACCTGAGTAATTCTAAGTCTTGTGTACTCCTGCTTGGTTGGAGAGAAAACCTGCAGCCACACCGGCCCTTTCTGGAACTCGTTTGACACCTCTGGTGTAGATGGTCAGGAGGTCCTGCTGTGGTAAAATTCTTTTGAGGGCTGTAAGGAACTGGAGGCACTTTGAAGCCTTCTTCACCATCTATTTGATGTGAGAGTCTCCACTCAGGTCTGAATCCAGATGGAAGCCCAAATAATACATGGTGGTGTTACTGGAACTGTCTTTCCCCCCAATACCAAGGGATCTGACTGTGTCTCATTTTTAGAAATGCAGATTCGTAACTCCATAGCCTTGTCCACAAGAAGCAGCATGCCGTTTTCAGTAGCCCATTTTGCCAACTATTGGATTTCCCTCTCTCTAATCACGTACATAAATACTAAAAACTTACTTTGGAAAAACTCATCCAAAAACACAGACTGTGTATAACCTTCAACTTTCAATAACGGACAAAAACTAGTAGATTCAAATGAGAAAATCTAAATATGAAGGGGATAGAAGAGGGAGAAAATATAAAATCTCTTTCTTCAGTGGTATTAATCAAAGAATAGTAGTACAACTAAATTTGCAGATTGTCACATGTTTAAGGCCCCTGTTTGTAAAGGTGATATTTTTGATCAGGTCCATGGTCAGTGTGTCTGTCAGCACAACACTGCTGGGTTCAACTGTGAGAGATGCAAGGACATGCACTACGACTCCCCCTGGAGGCCGGGCGGAGAAGACAACCCTAACATATGCAGAAGTACAAACATTATATTTGTTTTTTTAATTAAAGCCGGGGCTCTTGTTTTTCTTCACAAATTAAACAGTTTACAGAAAGAGTCTTGTAAAAATGTATTGTTGCGAACAAATCTGACCACAACATGCTCTCTTCATCTTAATGGAAAACATTTGATCTTTTGCTTAGTCACTATTTGACTCTTTGGGCTGAGTTAGGGTGATCCTCTGTTTTTTAATTCTTTCTTAAAAAGCTGATCTACAGATGTAACAGAGGCCAATCAATACATGCATGTGAAGATTTATTACAAACATATTTTTTATGTGTTTTGAAAGTTAGGTACCCCAGATCTTGGGTGAAATACTATATTAAGCTGCCACATTTTTTAAAGAATTTTTAAGGCAGAAAATTGGAAAGTCACAGCAAACAAGTCATTTTTTTTAAAGTAACTTTTAAAATTGTAATACTCTATTTGAGTGTTCATTTTTGTAACCTGAAATCTTACACCATATACGTCATAGTGATGTTTTCTTGTAAATTTGTTTTGCAACCCTAACATTTTGAACCTTTACATCCTTATGTGTGTGTGGATGTTTCTAGGGTGTAACTGTTACGGCCATGCAGACTCTTGTCACTTCGATGCGGCTCGCTTCGATGAGACAAGAGGAGTGAGCGGCGGAGTGTGTGATAATTGCAGGAACAACCGCGAAGGAGCCCAGTGCGAACGCTGTGGTGCATTTACGTTCCAGGACCCACAGAGAGCCATCGAGGACCCAAGCGCCTGTATACGTACGGAACCTCAGCTGTTTTTGTTTCTTTGGAGTGACCCAGAAATTACAGAGAAATTGTGTCTAATGAAATCTGATTTTTGACACTTTTCTATAGTTATCAAGAATATTTTCTGGTGTAGGATTTCACTGATAATTGTAATGTTAAACCTTTGTTTCATGAATAATAAGTGCTGTCAGTTTAACGCATTATTTACAGCTTTAACCCAAACCCATTTTAACAGCGTATTTTTTTTTGTCGCACAGTTAAGGACTAACAATGTTGAATAATTCCATACACTGTAAAAAATTGATAACAAAGGCAGGCATTGAGTAGCCTAGGCTAGACAATCTGAACACTTTCTTTTTGGAGGGTATTGGATTAATATCCCTTTTTAATCAAAATCAAAGAACATTTAGAGCAGGAAAAAATATGTGTTTTTTAATTAGTTGTTTGACAGCACTAGAAATAATACGTGTTGTTTGTCTCAACAGAAAGAGTTCTTTAAGTAAAATGTCAGTAAAATCAGACCATGCCATGCTGTCTTTATCCTTTGCATATTGGAAAAACAAGCGCTGTGAGTCCTCTCTTTTTCACTTTTTGGTCTGAAATGCGAAAGAGGCACGCATGTTAAAACTAGTCATAGAATAGAACCAATATAGGTATTTTGAGAGCAAAGAATGAGAAGACAGTTTGGACATCCCTGGTATACTTATGGAAAGCATTCAAAAACATATTTGTACAATTCAATTTGTTCATAGGGAAATTCAAAGTAATAAACAAAAGAAGAAAGTAAACATTAAAAACAGACTTTAACTAGAATAGAAGAAAAATATAGGAGAAATGTTGGGAAACGTTCTTGTGAAGCCAGGTCACTATAGAGTGTTTTACAGACTTTGTCAGTTCTGTAAAGATTTGCTTATAGACTATATTTGTGCGTATGGACACTATTTGTCTTTTTCCCTGCAGCGTGTGAGTGCTCTCCTCTGGGATCGGAGTCAGGGGGATTGTGCGATGTTCAGACTGGTCAGTGTCTGTGCAAAGAGAATGTGGAGGGACAGCGCTGTGACCGCTGTAAACCCGGACACTTTGGACTGAGGCCCGAGGATCCACTGGGCTGTCAACGTGAGGCCACAGAGAAAAGGAGTTGTATTTTATTGCAGCACTTCTTTGCTGCAATAAAATACAACTCCTTTTTAATCATCATAAAAATCATTTATAGTAAATAAATGTGTATTGTGGTGCGTAAGGAGCGGAGTCGGAGGCGGTGTGTCAAACAGCGGTGACAAACGTACACGTTTTAATGCCATAAAACAGCCAGTGTTAACAAAACTCCTCACACAACCAAAAACATTTCTCTCAGTAAGAAAACTGTGCAACGGTTTAACTAGTCCCCCCGGAACCCCACCAGAGTAACCACAGTTCCATGGGTGAATTATGTAAACCACCACACAAGCCCCCCCTGAATTCAACCATAGTCAAAATCCCCACTCCGGAATGGAATGATGGCCCGACCACTCCGAGTACAAGTGGCAGGGGCTGAGGGGAGGGAAGCGGGGGACGCAGCCGGCCCCGTCCCGGCCGAAGGAACTCCCGACTGACCAGGGGGACAAAGTACTGGGGGGCGCCCGCGGCATGGGGCCTGGGCCAACACCAACGGTCTGGAAATGTCCACATGAGCAGGCTTGATCCTATCGACGGAAATAGTTTCAGGTCTACCCCCAATGTCCACGACCAGGCTCTTGTCCCCATGCTGCAAAACCTTAAACGGGCCGTCGTAAGGGGGACGCAGCGGTCCACGGTGGGCGTCGTGGCGGACAAAGACAAACAACGCAGAGCGGAGGCCAGCGGGCATCCAGGACTCAGGGGAGCAGTGCTGCAACGTAGGAACAGGCGCAAACCCCGTGTCCACCTCCCGCAGGGAGGACCGCTGTTCGGTAGCAGACCAAGGTCTCGTAGCATCCGGTATAAAATCCCCAGGCACCCGCAAAGCCTGGCTGTAAACAAGCTCGGCAGACAAGGACTGCAGATCCTCCTTGGGGGCGGTCCTAAGGCCAAGCATGACCCAGGGCAGTTTGTCCACCCAGTTGCCGTCCGTCAGGCTGGCCCGAAGGGCAGCCTTCATAGAGTCCGTTAGCCTGGGGGTGGTATGCAGTGGTGCGGTGCAACTTGACACCCAAACCCCCGCCACAGCATTCCAGATCTCCGAGGAAAATTGCGCACCCCGGTCAGAGGATAGATCAGAGGGCGTACCGAAACGCGAAACCCACGTGCCAATGAACGCCAGAGCCACATCGGCAGACGTGATAGAGGCGAGGGGAACAGCCTCAGGCCAGCGCGTCGTCCTGTCTACCACCGTGAGGAGGTAAGTGAAACCACGTGAAGGAGGAAGCGGCCCCACCAGGTCGATGTTAACGTGGTCAAACCTCCTCTCCGGAACAACAAAAGGTTCTAATGGGGCCTTGGTATGGCGGTGCACCTTAGCACGCTGACAGGCCACACAAGAATCAACCCAGGCCCGCACATTCTTCTTGAGTCCTCTCCAGACGAACTTTTGCGATACAATCCTAACAGATGCCTTTCTGCCAGGATGGGACAGGCCGTGTATAGTCTCAAAAACGGACCGCTGCCAGTTGGCGGGGACCAGAGGCCTGGGCTGGCCGGTAGAGAGGTCACACCACAACCTAACCCCAGAAGCGCCGACCGCGACCCTTCCCAGCTGCAGTCCAGTGTCCGAGTCCTTGAGGGACTAAAGGGTGCGGTCTGCGGCCTGGTCTGCACCCATACGCGCATAGTCTAGTCCGAGCTGGACCGCACCAACGACCGCCCTGGAAAGACAATCCGCAACCACTTTGGATTGGCCGGCAATGTGTCGTATGTCCATAGTATACTCCGAGATGAACGCCAGCTGGCGCTGCTGGCGGGCGGACCACGGCTCGGCCACCTTAGACATGGGGAACGTAAGGGGCTTGTGGTCAACAAAAACCGTAAACTCACGGCCCTCCAGGACGAAGCGGAAGTGGCGGATTGCCAACCAAACAACGAGCAGCTCTCTGTCAAAGGTGCTGTATTTACGCTCCCTGGGGACAAGCTGGCGGCTGAAAAAGGCGAGCGGTTGCCAGGTACCCTCGACCCACTGCTCGAATACAGCGCCCACGGCATAGTTGGACGCGTCAGTAGTGAGGGCAACCGGGGCCCCAGGTGACAGGTGAACCAACATAGCGGCCTGGCACAACGCAACTTTTGTGTCCTCGAAGGCCTGGTCTGCCTCCGCGGTCCAGACAACGTCCTGGTTGGGGGTCGTACCCTTAAGGGCCTCGTAGAGCGGGCGCATTACGTGAGCCGCTTGTCGAATGAACCGATGGTAGAAGGTTACCATACCGAGGAACTCACGGAGCCCCCGGGCCGAGCGTGGGCGTGGAAAAGTGGAAACGGCTTCCACCTTTGAAGGGAGGGGGGCAGCCCCTTCACTGGTGATGAGATGCCCGAGGACCTTTATGGATGGCACCCCAAAAACACACTTAGCCGGGTTAATGATCAGCCCGTGCTGGTCGAGCCGTGTAAAAATAACTCGGAGATGTGTCAGGTGCTCCTCCTCCGAGGAGCTGGCGACGAGGACATCGTCCAAGTAGACGAAGATGGAAAACATGTCCCTGAGTGCCGAGTCCATTAGCCGCTGGAACGACTGGGCTGCGTTCTTCAGGCCAAAAGGCATCCTGAGGAACTCGAACAGCCCGAAAGGAGTCACCACTGCCATCTTCGGGATGTCCGCAGGGTGCACCGGGACTTGGTGGTAACCCCGCACCAGATCCACTTTAGAGAACACGGACTTCCCCGCCAAATGTACGGAAAAGTCTTGAATGTGGGGCACCGGGTAACGATCGGGCGTGGTCGCATCATTAAGACGGCGGTAGTCACCACACGGACGCGACCCACCGTCTGGCTTCGGAACCATGTGGAGTGGTGAGGCCCACGGGCTGTCAGAACGGCGAATGATGCCAAGTCGTTCTATGTTGGCGAATTCGGCCTTGGCAGTCGTCAGCCTCTCCGGATTGAGCCGCCGGGCATTGGCGTGGATAGGAGGGCCTCTGGTCTCGATGTGGTGTTCGACTCCGTGTTTAGCCGTAACAGCCGAGAAAGTGGGCCGCGTCAGGTCAGGGAACTCCATGAGGAGCCGCAGGTACTTGTCACCTTCAGCGAGCGAGCTGGAGAGACCATTGTATGTCCCCTCATCGCAGACACACGCGAATGAAGAGAAGGTCAAAGCGTCCACCAGGCGGCCATTTTTGACATCCACGAGTAACCCCTGGGCGCACAGAAAATCCGCACCGAGGAGGGGAAACGAGACATCGGCCGTGACAAAGTCCCATGTAAACCGCTGGCCCCCGAAACATACGTCCACAGCCTTTGTGCCATATGTCCGGATAGGGGTGTCATTGGCGGACGTTAAGGGCGGGCCATGCAACCCCCCAGCAGCATCGTCCACTGTAGCCGGCAGAACGCTCCTCTGGGCGCCAGTGTCACAGAGGAACCTGCGCCCGGACAGGGTGTCCACAACAAACAACAGCCGGCCCTTCGCGCCTGCGCTCGCGGCCACTACTGAGCGCAGGCCTTTGCGTTTCCCGTCGCGTTGAAACTGCATGGGGAGCGGCACCTCTTAGCTTTGGCCCTGAAACGCGCGTGGAAGTAGCACAAACCAGGGCTGGCCGGGCCGTCAGTCACATTGCGCCCCCTAACAGGCAGAGCGGCCGCACCAGGGGGGGTGTAGCTGCGTGTCGGGGCCAACACGTCAGGGACGAAACGATGGGTGGCCAGGAAGAACCGGTCTGCCTCCTCCGCCAGAGCACGTGGCTCCGTAATGGCTGTATTCGCGAGAGCCGTCTGCACGTGAGGCGGCATGTGTCGCAGAAACAGTTCCATAAAGAGGAAATTTGGCTCTTCACTGCCCAGCAGGTTTAACATCACCTCCATGTGTTCTGAGGGCTTGCTATCCCCCAGGCCCTGCATAGAAAGGAGGCGTCGGGCCCGTTCGGAACGTGACAGTTCAAAAATCTTCAGCAGATATGCCTTAATACCCGCATATTTCCCGTGGGCTGGAGGAGAAGTGATGAAACTCACTGTCCTGGTCGCCGTGGAGCTCCCGAGCGCCGAGACAACATGGTAATAGCGCGTGTCATCGTCAGTAATTCCACGAAGGGCGAACTGAGCCTCCGCCTGAGCAAACCACGTTGCGGTGGACGTCTCCCAAAACTCAGGCAGCTTGAGAGCGGCGGACTGCGCCATACTGCTTTGCTCTGTATCTTGATCAGTCTCAGAAACTTCTGCGGGACTGATGTCGGGGTCACCAATGTGGTGCGTAAGGAGCGGAGTCGGAGGCGGTGTGTCAAACAGCTGTGACAAACGTACACGTTTTAATGCCATAAAACAGCCAGTGTTAACAAAACTCCTCACAAAACCAAAAACATTTCTCTCAATAAGAAAACTGTGCAACGGTTTAACTAGTCCCCCCGGAACCCCACCAGAGTAACCACAGTTCCATGGGTGAATTATGTAAACCACCACAGTATAATTTTTTCGCCCCCAGCCATCTCAAAGGGCATCAAAGCAAACATTTCCACGCAGATTTTGAGATCTGATGTAGTTGAATTGATAGAGAAGTGTTTGTAATACACAATATTTTTCGACTTACTGCTGTGATTCTCAAATACCCCTTTTCCAGTATGGTGCCAGTTCTAGGGTAGTTCCAGTTTTGAAACTCAAAACACACCTCTCCTATATAAATAGAAAATGTACGTAGTGTGATGAAACATGGTCAATAGGCCATCGTAAAAAGTAGTGACAGCTTGAGCCATAAATTACTTTTACATTATCTTTTTGGGTAATCTTGTGTTATAGTATGTGTAAAATGGCTTTGATTTTTGCAGCGTGCAGTTGTCATCCTCTGGGCAGCACTGGTCCCTGTGATGTCCAAACTGGAAGTTGTCAGTGTGACTTTTTCTCTGTGGAACCCTTCTGTGATCGTTGTGTGGTGAGGCTCTTCTGACCTCTAGTGGCGGAATCTTTAACAACATCCACATGATCTATTTTAAATGTTATTTTTTATATATTTTTAAAATGACATAAATAAGTAGACACTGAACATACAATCTGTTTTCAGCCAGGACACTATGGGTTGGCGAATGGTCTGAGATGTGCTCCGTGTGACTGTGATTTTGGAGGAGCCGTCAGTACCATGTGTGTAAAATAATAAAACCTGTTTTTCCTTTGTGTGACTAAGACATCTGGTTTGAGGGCCCATATCATGCAAAAGTTGTTTTGCATGGTATTATGAATAGTAGTAGTAGTAGCGGGCTGTTGTCCCTCTCTAAGCTTGGGTCCTCTACGCAATATCTTTGCTGTTCCTATATATATAAATATATATACTGTACCAGGTTTCATCTTAAATACTTTTATTGATGGAAGACGTGTTTTACGAAATATCATAATACATGGCACTGTTCATCCTTACCCTAATATGGATCAGTTGTCCGATCACCTGTGCAGAAAAGCAGCCCCGAACCATAATGAAGGCAATGACAAGCACTGTAATGAAGTATGCAGTCAGTTAATGCACTCATTCTACAATCTGTGGTCTTTCCTCAGGTGTGACGGTGACAGCGGACAGTGCACGTGTCTCCCAAACATGGACGGACGCCAGTGCTCTGATCCACGCCCGGGTTACTTCCTGCCTGGGCTTGACTACTTTCTGTACGAAGCCGAACTCGCTGCTCCCACTGAGTCGAGACCCCCATCTCCACCGCCAATATGGAACCCTGTGCCCGCCACAGTTCCTCCACATCCAATATGGAACCCTGTGCCCGCCACAGGTCCTCCACATCCAATATGGAACCCTGTGCCCGCCACAGGTCCTCCACATCCAATATGGAACCCTGTGCCCGCCACAGGTCCTCCACATCCAATATGGAACCCTGCACCTGGCACGGATGCACCTTCGCCAGTCGTGAGTGCAATTTGAAAACTATGTACAGTTGTGCACCAGACAAACATTACATTGTTTTAGCCAAAATTTTAGAGATAATTAATTAATAGAATTAACAAAAAATGACAAAAAACAGTAGTTTTTATTTTATTGTTGGTACACATTAAAAGCGACACGACCAGAGCTTTGCAGCATTCAAATTGTTTTATTCCAAGGAAAACTCAGCATCAGCCACGTCGATGATAGATAGATACTTTATTGATCCCCGTAGGAGAAACTCAGGTGTCCAATAGCAGCAGAAACACTTGCATCCATACAAACAAAACAAATAAATGGATCATTCTAAAAGATTGATAGGTAGGTAGCTAGGTACTTTATTTTCTCCCCCATATTCAGGTGTCCAGTAGCAGCAAAAATAAAATTGATCATTCTAAAAAGCTAACAATAGTAATTTTCAGCAACAGTCCTTCAGGTCACAACAGCAAAGGTGTGTAGCCACTGGATGGGAATCGCAAAGTATACAAGGGCCAAAGCTCAATTAATTGATGATGAATAGAATTTGAAAATGGTCCTTAAAGGCACACCGTGTAACTCTTGGCCACTAGGGGCGCTAGACCTGCAACTTTCACGTTTAGCGCCCCTAGTGGCCACAAGCAACTCAGCACTGTCGCAAAAGTCAACAGTCAGCCGGTGTCTTTTGAGTGTGTATTCAGACAGCATGCACTGGTGTGTGTGTTCAAACTGTAGAGACATGCCTACAGATATTGAGAGACTCTGCTGTGGTCAGCCTCCAGACCGCTGCATTAGTAATCTACCACACATGGACTTCTATATCCTGGATGAGGGAGTTCTGCGTCTAGCTCGTGCTGCGTGGAATGACATCTTTGCAGTCGATGACATCCAGGAACCAGGTGAAGAGCAGCGCTCATACAGACATGCAGCTTACAGCACGATCCCTTTCGCGTTTCCTCTTTTTAGCCTCCTCCGAAGGTTTAAAATTTTTCCTTGCCTCAGCCATGACCAGGAGTCGAGCAGGTGAAAAATGAGTAGCAAAAGCCTTAGCTCCATGAGTATATCAGCGCCTGTAGCCGTAAAGCAAGTCTTTCTTCCAAGTCACGTGACCTGGTGGCAGACGGTCCGTCTGCTCGAAACTTACATGGGCGGTATTTCAAGAGGGCAGCCCCGCTCGGAGCATTGCAAGTGTCAAGCGCTGTATATTGGCCCAAGTATTCATATAAAATAACTCATATGTGTCAACTCTTTAGGTCACAAAGTCCGCGGTGTGCCTTTAAGGGGTGGATGACCAATGTTCATAAATGTTAATAAATGTCCATACATGTCCTTAAATGTCATGGATCATCACCACAGTCCTGCATCTGCATAGAACTAAAAAAAACTTAGTGGGATGAGGGAGGCCCACATTAAGGGAGGGATCCGTTCCCACGGACAGACGAGCTAGAGCCACGACTCAAGCCATAGAACGAGGGCCGAGGCCACACGGTGCAGAACGGAGGCGGCAGGGTTTCCAGGGTTCCCATCGTCACGCCCTGAAAAAGACAATGTACACTAATTGTCTTTATATCATGGTCCAAACACTCACACACTCTTAACTCATTAAACTATATAAATATTTGTTCCCCTATACTCTCAAAACTATGTTTGAGGAACTAAAATTATTTTAAGAACTAATGTATTTAAGCAACTGTCATTACTGAAAATAATTGCACATGAATTATACAAAACAACAAATATTTAGCATGTTTACAATCTTAATTCAACATCTTAATTTCAACATCCTGCTGAATAAAGACATTTAGAAATGAACTTGATATCGCAAACTGTTTGTGCTCAATGTTGTGTGATATTGAACCTGTAACTTCTCACTGAGCATGGTATTCTAAAAAAAATATTCACGAGGGAATATTATGATATCGCACTGTCCTGTTTGCAGCAAATGCCCCAAATCCTTCCAAAATGTGAGCAGTATTACAGAGAGCAGGGCTATGACTTCAAGATTTCAAATGGACACGTGGTTCTGGTTCGAAGGACGAAACGCAATTCCCGCCGCAGACGACAGGTTGGTGTCTTTCTCAGTTTGGTTTGATTGTACTGCCCTGATATCTTTCTACTCTGTATGCTTCCATTCAGTCCAAGAATTGAGTGAAAACATTATGTCATTGTCATGTTCTTTATGACTTTGTACCTTGAATGAGAACGTCCAGATGCCAGTGTTTGCAATTACAGACCAGTTTCATAATGTTTTGCCTCTGCTATAGGGTTTTCTCCAGGTTTTGTCTGTGTGTTTGTTTAATAGTTTGATTTTTTTATATATTCAGAAGGAACAAAATATTTGGAGTTTCGATTCAGGATTTTTTTTTTTTAGGGAATTGTACATTTTAAAACCCCAAAGTATATAGCCAAGATCACATAGAGATGTTTATATGTATAGAATTGTATTATTGTATTATTAATCTGCGAATCTAATGTATTTGAAGTTTGAACACATAAATTTGAAAGACTTAAAATAAACTAAATTCATATTTATTCATAATTGTTAGGAACACTGAAATGATTTGCCATTATTCTTGTGCACACAGTACGGTGGCCTCTCCTTGGAGCCTGGGACTCCACTTCAGATCATTCCACGAGAGAGAGCGTCTGGTCAGCACATCACCTGGACCGGACTGGGTCTGGTCCGGGTTCAGACTGGAGCCGGTCTCAGGTTCACAGTGGACAACCTGCCACTGTCGATGGACTATCAGCTGGTGATCCGCTATGAGCCAGAGGTAAAAAATCCTCTCTACTCTCACTCCTACATGTCTCCTTTTGTTATATTCAGGAATTACCTAGATCAATATCTTACAGCTGGGTGGTAACTAACCTCTACTTTTTCATAAATATTGCCTGTTGTAATGTAAATAAATATTAAAGTAACATTTCGCAAACATATCCAATTGCAACACAGTCTTCATCTTTTGCATGCTAAAGATGCAAAATAATCCTTTTGAGTCAATTGAGGTTGCCAGATACGCAGCCGAATCCAGCTCGGACCATTATAGCTGAATAGCCAAACCATGCATCTCTGTTTGCCGTTTAAGTCACCAAATTCACCAATACTATTCAATACCCTGTCTCCTCATTAGCCAAAATTGTGAAGAAATATTGACGCACAATTTATACTGTAGCAAGGGAAGCACCTATCACTACAGTCTATGTCAGCGGTCATCAACTATTTTTGTCAGAGGGCCAGAGTTTTACCAGACAGTCTCCTCGGGAGCTGGAAAACAGAAAACAGAAAAAAGAAAACAGATTCTGATTCATTTATTTGCCATTGGTTGTAAAAACCATACATCCACAAAGGTCCCCAGTGTGCACTAAAACATGTTTAAAAGTAAAGAAATAAAACAAACAAAACATAAAACAATTGACACTGTGAAATCGATCAACAAAAATAGTTTCAATACAAAATCATTTGAAGTTCTTTGTTTAATCTGATAACAGATTGTGGAAAGCGAGATGTCCTGCATCTAAACGAACAATTTCGTCTGCCAGTGGGAAGAAGCTGGAACATGGCTTTTTGATAATGCTGTTTCAGCTACAGTTGAACCTGATGAAATCTCACACAACAAAGAGACAAAGTTAATCTTTTACTTGTTACATTGTCACAAGGACAGACCCTAGCCTCTCTCAGGACAAGTCTGAAGATTCACAGTCTGCAAGCCCCTTTTGGTAGAGCAAGACACACCTCCGTATGCAGATGGAAAGGATGAAACCAACACAACAAAAGACACTTAGCATATGAGCTCCCCAGACCTCCCGGTGTCTTCCTGAAGCTAAAGTGAATTACAATACAGAGCATTATGCACAGAGCCACATATGATTTACCAAAATGATAACTTAAGTTACATTCCAATATCACTTTTCCAGGGGCCAGAAGATTATTATTGATTATAATTATTATTTTTGAACATTTTTTTGATCCTCACAATTTTGGAATACAGTCACGGACTGGATCAAATGGTTCGGCGGGCCGCCGGTTGATGATCAGGGGTTTATGCTATGCACTAAAAGCTGTCAAACCGAGGGGGCGCGTCGAACCATTCAAAACCATAGACTGTATATATGTCAAAACTATAGACTTGTATGCTCTGAATCAACGTGAGTCAATGAAACGCTTCCACACACTGACACAGTTGATATGCAAAACAAAGCAGTGGCTGCAGAGCCCAATCATGGATCTATTATGTTGGAGTCGCTGAAACGTTTGGCTTGCTTTTTTGATTCCCTCTCCAACACAGTGTTTCGAAGACTCTGCTTCAGGGAGAGCGACACACTCAGTGCCCATCACTACCATATAACTTGGTACATGGAGTCAACAATATGCTAACTTGATTATTGAGTTTTTTGTCTGCGTGTCATCTTTGGCCCCATATTTGGAAGGAGACCTAGGACCAGGAGTCCATGATCCTGGACTTGCCAGAAGCATGTCCAGGATCTGGTCTTGGTCTTGTCCTGATCTTGGTCTTGGGTCTCATACAAAGGAGCACTTTCATGTTTCTCAGAAAAAAACACTTCAAAAACTGGAAACATCTGCATGTTCTGTCCTTAAGTTGATATTAAAACTCACACGTTTACTGTGACCTAATCAATTATATAAATCCCTTTATGATTGAATATAGAATATCATAATTTGATAGATGTTGATACATGGATTAGAGAAAATAGAAGTGTGTTCTTGTATTGCCATGTGCTGGATTTAATATACACAACAATATCCAAAATGTTTCAAGTACTTTTAATCTTCTCAGCATTATACATTGTTTTGTATTATTGTACGGATCAGAAATAATATTCTCATATTTAAAATATTTATTGATCCACTTATTACGTATTATACGTCTAAACCATATCTGTTCCATTTCCCTCCAGTCTCCATCTGATTGGCTGGCATATCTGAGCATCACAACTTTATCTCCTGGAGACGAACGGTGCAACAGTGAACCGCTTAGGAGTGAAACCATGACTCTAACTGGAAACTCCAGGTATCACACGCAATTAGTGCAATTAGTTATCACATTTGATTGCAGGGCTGGACTGGCCATCTGGCATAACGGGCAATGCATGGGGGTCAATGCCCATATTTGGGCCGGTCTGCCTGCCTCATACAAAAAACAAAGTGACGAGTTCGAGTTACTGTATGAACTCGAACGGGATTCGAGTAAGGCAAGGCAAGGACATTTTATTTGTATAGCACAATTCATACACAAGGAAATTCAAAGTGCTGAACAAAACCAGAAAGCACTAAAATCATAAATAATAACATTAAAATAGTACATTAAAAAGAAAGATAAAAATATAAAATCCTTCAGTTGTATGCACAGCTAAACAGAACTGTTTTTAACCTGGTTTTAAACATTGTCAGAGAGGAGGCCTGTCTCACATCTTCAGGAAGACTGTTCCAGATTTTAGCAGCATGAATCTGAAAAGCAGCCTCCCCATGTTTAGTCCTGACTCTGGGCACTAACAGGAGTCCAGTCCCTGTGCTCCTCAGAGTCCGGGCTGGTTCATATGGGACTAACATGTCACTAATATATTTTGGTGCGAGGCCATGGAGAGACTTGTACACAAGCAGAGCTGTTTTAAAGTCTATTCTCTGAGCCACAGGAAGCCAGTGCAGAGACCTGAGAACTGGACTAATATGGTCGTACTTCCTGGTTCTAGTCAGGACTGGAGCTGCTGCATTTTGAATGTACTGCAGCTGTTTTACAGCCTGTTTGGACAGACCTGTGAGCAGGCCATTGCAGTAGTCTAACCTACTGGAGACAAATGCATGGATAAGGATCTCCAAGTCTGCTTTAGACACTATGTTTTTGATCCTGGCAATGTTTTTGAGGTGGTAGAAAGCTGCTGATGTTACTGATGTGATGTGGCTTTTTAAATTTAAGTCTGAGTCCAGTATTACCCCTAGATTTCTGACCTTGTTTGAAGGTTTTAGGGAGAGAGACTGGAGGTGACAGATGACGCTCTCTCTTTGTTTCTGGGGACCAAAGACAATCATTTCAGTTTTGTCTGCGTTTAGCTGAAGGAAGTGAGTCCACTGGTCCATGTTCTCCTGCAGTCAGTGAGACATAGATCTGAGTGTCGTCTGCATAGTTGTGATAGGACACTTTGTTTCTGCGTATTAACTGACCTAACGGCAGCATGTAGAGATTGAACAGAAGAGGTCCCAGGATCGACCCCTGTGGTACTCCACAGGGGTCTGAGACACAGTTTCCAATCTCCACAAAGTACTTCCTGTCTTCAAGGTAAGACCTAAACCAACTTAGGGCGGTGCCAGCGACGCCAACCCAGTCCTCTAGTCTCTGTAAGAGGATCTCATGGTCGACGGTGTCAAAGGCAGCACTCAGATCTAACAAGATTAAGATTGAGACTTGGCCTGCGTCAGTGTTCAGCCGGATATCGTTTGTAACCTTAACGAGAGCAGTGCTGTGGTGGGGTCTAAAGCCGGACTGAAACATATCAAATGAGTTGTTGATTATAAGAAATCTAGTAAGCTGTAGGTAGACAACTTTCTCAAGGACTTTCCCCATAAATGGCAGATTTGAGATAGGATGATAGTTGTTAAGTACCGTTGCATCCAGCCTGCTCTTTTTTAGAAGGGGCCTGATGACTACAGTTTTCAGGGCCTTTGGGAATATTCCAGAATGAAGGGACATGTTTACTATCTGTGTGAGTGACAGGTAACAGACTGCTCAGAACAGAATTCAGAAATATAGTGGGTAGTACATCCAGGCTGCATGTGGAGGAGCTCAGACTTGTGATTTTCTCTTGGACATTTTTATCATCTACAGGTGGAAAGTGAGTTAGCTCAAAGAGCCTTTCTGGCTCTTTGAGCCATTGTCTGTGGATTGGAGACAATGGCGTTTTTGATGCCTTGAACCTTGTCATTGAAAAAATGTGCAAACTCATTGCATTTACGTTTGGAAGTAAGCTCTAATGGAACAGGGGGTTTGTTAATCTATTAACTGTTGAAAACAGAACATGCAGATTGTTACTGCAGCCTTCAATCATTTCAGAAAAATACCTTTCTCTCGTACTACGTAGCACCCGGTTAAACGCGCAGAACTCATCTTTGAAGATCTCGTAATCAACCTAGAGGTTGGACTTGTGCCACTTCCGCTCGGCCCTCCGGCACTTTCTCTTCAGTGCTCTGACCGAGTCTGCTTTAGCCCACAGCGCCTTCTGCTTATTTTTCACTATTTTAACCTTCACAGGGGCAACGGTATCCAGAACATTCAAAACACTAGAGGTGACAGAGTTAAACAGTTCATCTACAGTAGAATACGATGCATTTTCAAAGTTTGTCATTCCCAGAAATAGTTCTCGTATTTTCATTTATGTGTCTTCTTTGAACACTTGCAGAGTCCACTGATGGTTTGTTAGTGAAGCACATGTCAATAAATACACAGAAATTATCCGAAAGAGCAACAATGACCACGTTTGCATTTGAAATATTCACCCCCTTAGTAACTAACAGGTCTAGAGTGTGCCCTCTGCTGTGGGTGGGGCCACTCACGTGCTGAGTGAGACCAAAGGTATCAGAAAAAAGAACTCAGCTCTTTTGCATTTCTGTCATTAACATTATCCACATGAGTATTGAAATCCCCTGTAATAACTAAACTATCAAAGTCTGTGCATACAACTGAAAGCAACTCGGTAAAATTATCAATACAACTGTGACATGACTGTGGTGGCTTGTATAGGACATTGAAGAGTATTGGAGGAGATTGTTTTTGTTGTACTTTAAAAGACACATATTCAAATGACAAAAACTTCCCAAGAGACATTCTATGGGAGACAAAGTGGTCTCTGAAAATGGCAGCTATGCCTCCCCCCTTTTTGTTTTCCCGTATTTCAGATTCAAATTTGAAATTTGGTGATGATGCTTCTATTAAAACTGCATTTCCTGTATTTTGGTCAAGCCAAGTTTCAGCCATGAACATAAGATCAAGAATATAAGAACAAATAAAATTATTGATTAAAAAAGACTTGTTACAAAGAGACATTTAGCATAGCAAGTTTCAAAATTTCAGTATCAGTGGTTGTGGTCGGCTGATTCTTACACGGAACAAGAATTAGATTTTCCAGATTAGGCTGACTAACTTCCGATGTTTTTCTGTTATGTACTCTTTGTGTTATCACTAAGGGAATGGCAGAGGTAGCATCATGACAGGGCCCCAGCCGGGTCTCTTTTCTACCTAGACTGCCAGTGGCTGCGAAGCAGAGACCCTGTGCATCCTAGTGTTTAGAAATAAGAGGAGAAGGGGAAAGCGGGGGAGGAGGATGGAGAGGTGGGTGGTTCTTGGGTGTTGGACGAGGGGGGGTTGGAGGTGGATGGGTGTTAGGGGAGGGGCAGGAGTTGGGAGATGGGCAAGGGGGAGTGGAGGTGGAGGGGTTCTTGGTGATGGGTTAGGGGGGAGGTTGGCTAAACGAGGGAGGGTGGGGGTGGGGTTGGAATGATTTTGGGGTTAGGGGAGCCGGTGGATTTTGCGGGTGAATTTGAGTTAGAATTTGAGGGACGGGTGGATTTTGTGGGCGAATTCGAGTTGGAGGTACGTATGGGGAGTAGTTATGAATGTTAGATAGGACTCTTGATCTGGCTACAGTGGGTGTGAGAGGAATAGTCTTCATCGCCGATCTTATCATGCCTGCAGAGTGCTCCGGTAATTCCAATAGTGATGAAAAACACAGGGAAAGGTCGTCCTCATTTTCCTTAGATGGAGTGGATGTGGCAGGGGGGACCCAAACCGGGTCCATGGAAGGTGATGAGGGAGTCTTTGGTGGAGACGGAGGTGGTTGAAAGGCCCCCAGTCTGTAGCCTGGAGCAATGGGGGGGGCTTCACGGGAGCTGTAGGTGGGGAAGGTGCTGCTGAAGATGATGCAGCAGCCACAGCTGGTGCTGGTGGCGCTGATGCTGATGGCGCTGTGGCAGCCACTGCTGCTGCTGGTGCTGGATCCTCTGGTGATGATGATACTGGTGGACGTGTTGAGTTCTTTTGAGGCGGTGGAGGTGCCGAGACCTCTGGGTTCCATGGAGAGGGTCGTGCCCTTTGCTTCTTCCTCTCTTTCAACGGCTGCACGCGCTGCGCAGGCTCAGGTCTTAGGCAGATGCAAAGTTATCCATCAACACTTTTACTCCGTATTTGTTCAGATGTGGGCCTTTCCCTTCAAAAAGCTCGAGCCTATTCCAGAACAGATTAACCCTCTATGCACATGGGTCATTTTGGGGAACTTTCCTCGCCTGGTTTTCTTTGTGTATAATTGTTCATAAAACAGTCATCTTTTGATGCAGAGTCAAGCAGTATACTTTGTTTTTTTCAGTACAACCTGGGGTTTTAGAATATTCATATTGTAAAGCTGTCATATGAATTATATGAAAACTATGGAATCATGAAGATAAAGAAAAAAATCAAACGGAAAATAAATTTAACAAAAATGTATTGAAAAATCACAATGAAATGCTATAAACAACTTTTTACACTGCATAGAAATGTTATTTGGGGACTTGGGGATAGTGGGGAAAAAAATGAATCTCTAACTATTATACTTTTTACAAAATTCCACTATAAAAGAAAAAAACTCTGTACTCCTGATGCCCTTCTTGAAGCAGTTTGTCTATAATGCTGGGGTTGCTTCTGTAGCACAGCTGTAAAAAACGTAAAACTTAAGAAACTGAGACAAAAAAAAAAAACATCAATTATTTATATAATACATATATTTATATACATCATATACACATAATGTCATTTTACTGTATTTATTATCGTCTTTATCAATAATGCGCACTCTTCAGCCGGTAATTGCAATCGCAGCTGTAGTTTCAACTGTGGGAGAACAAGTGCACACTCTCTGACGATCTTTGGCAGTCCCCGTGTGTTTGTATCTCACAGCTGTTTGTACCTCACGGGTCACGCTTTGGACACGGACTTTCAGACAAGCGTAGTGTACTTCAAAGAGGAAAAAAAAGTAAGTTGCTACGTTTTACCGTTCGCAAGTAAATTGATCATTTGTAAAACATGTGCGCATGCATCGTCGCCGATGCAGACGGGTTCATAGGGTTAAAGTTTTCAATGAATCCAAGTCCTCTGCGTGAACACTCATTGTGTATAAATGTATTTAACTGGTACAGACGGCTAAACTTCTCAATTTTTCCATCTGCATTTGGAAGGGGTCCACTGATTAAAACGTGTAAGTCCATTTTTTCAAGGTCATCCAGCAGCAGAGTAATATCTCTTCTCAACTTCTCGTTAGCCTTGTCATAGATGTCTACCGCCCCTGTGTGAATCAACAATGTACCTACACCACGGTTTTGAGATAACACTTTTGGCAGGAGAGCTCTAATCTCAGACACTTTGGCCGAGTGCACAGAATAAGTGTGTACGAAGTTCAAGGTGACGTCCCGAATGGCAGATCTCCAAGCAGAAAACCCGTGGCCTTGACGGAGGGGGTGAATCTGACGGCGGCTTTGCTTCTTCAAACACAGCAGCATAACAATTTGAAGTCTTCAAAACATTTTGTGGCAGAATTCCACTCCCATTGTCATTCTTAGCTCTGTCAACTTTGGGTTTAGCGCCAAATTTATTCCAATAGTTCTCTTTGTTGATTTTGGGAAAAGTAATTAGGTCATCATAACTTACATTTCCAGTCTGTCCATTCATCCCACTTTCACACATTGGAAGAGTTGGGTTAAGTCCCATTTCTGTTTCCAAAATATCCATCCGTTTTTGAAGAGCTCTGAGCTGATTTTCCAGAGAGCAGCAGCCATCGCAGACATTTCTCCGTTTCTTCCGTCCGGACATGACTAATGTTGACAAATTTCACAAAGCTGAAGTCTGCAGAATGAGTAATCCGTGTTTTGTAGAATAAAAATGTAAATAAAATGATTAAAAGAGAATACAAAGCGAAGCAAGCAGCAGAGGAGCAAGGAACACGTCTACACACTCCAAGCAGGAAGTCCAGTCCCTGCTTGGGAGTACATACAGCAATGCTGTGGCCTCCGCAGCGTTCTGACTAATACTACTATTTGTTTTTCCACACAGAATACAATGATTTGTAAATACATGGGGAAAAGATATTGTGGGATGTTTCAAGCGTTCAAGATTTCCCTTATTTTTTTCCTTATTAGAAGTCACAATTTCTTAGTGCATTTTATAAAAATGTTCTATGTTCAAAGTGGAGCGCTTCACATGCATACGCATTTCAGGCTTTTTTGGCATTCTCATCCTTGTAATAAATAACAACAGTTTTGGTACTGTGGCCATCTCACTCACTCTGAGTTGCGACATGTTTATTACTCTCTTGTAATATAAATCATTGCACTTTATTTCAATTGTTGAAACTGCATACATCCTTATATTCTTCTGCATAAATAACCGTGGAAAAAAATAAAGAGAAGGCAAAAATGCCTGGGCCGTTTATTGCTCCCAGTTCAGCCCTGTTTGGTTACATAATATATTTAATGTTGTGATGGAAGCTTTATAATTCACTCTATAACATCCCTATAGAATTAAAAAAGTTAACAAACCAATAGAATTTCCCTATTCCTATTCGGTTGTTGGTTGTGTGAAAGGGTTGAATAGTTCTGATATATTCAAATGCTCCAAAATCTACACAAAGAAGGTCCAACTTTGTATGAAATGTTGTGAAGAATGAGAGTCTAGTTCCAATACTGATTTTATATTGATTCATATTGATTGATTGTTTTTTTATACTGTTGACAAACTGATAAAAGACGCTTTTGAATTTTCCTTCCATCCTAGGGCTACTGTATTGGACTCTCCAGTCTGTCTGAACACTGGAGGTAGATACTTAATTGACGTCACTTTCAACAAAAATTCTAATTCTGACCCAAACTTCAGCTCTCACATCCTCATTGACTCGGTACGTGAAACCCACACAGAGAATGGCAACACATTGTTTTACAAGGCAAATGAAGTATTTAAGTATTTTTTTAATTAAGTCATCCATTGAATTTGAAGTATAAAATTTAAGTTTAAAACATTTACACGTATAATTACTTTGGAAACAGTTGGTGTTTTAATACTGCAGCCTCAATGTTTAAGGTAGAAATAGGAGTGTTTTGAATCTGAAAGTGGCAAATTGTTTGTTAACTTTCTTTCTCCTCATTTATCGTCTATCATGTCTTTCTGCAGTTGGGTTTGATTCCGAGAATCGAGGCAGCACTGGTCCAGGGCTTGTGTTCCCAGACCGACCTGGACTCCTTCAGAAAGTTTCGCTGCATCGGTTTAGCCACTGAAGCCGGTTCACCCGATGCTCCTGAAGTATGCGAAGGACTGGTCAAGAGCATGTCTGCACACATCCACAAGGGGGCGTTATGTAAGGAAGCAGAGATCAAGCACAATTCTGTCCAACCAAATGAGTAAAAGTAACAAGTTGGGAACAAATCACACCACAACATGCTGTCTTCATCTTTTTAGAGCCCTGTGAGTCACTATTTGATACTTTGGGTTGGGAGCTGATTGGCTGAGTGATCTTCTCGTTTTCACTTTTTGGTCAAAAAAAGGATCTAACAATGTGATCTGGCCAAAAATATATACAATCATGTGAAAACTAGTAATCAAATCAAACTGTTTTTTCAAGCAAGGAACTAGTTACATGGATTCTTTTACATCAGTCCATTGTTGTGGTTCTAAACCAGTGGGGGCGGGTCCCAGCCCCAAAATGACGTGCGCTGACATGCTTGAAATACCACTCCGGCCAGTGGGGATGGACCCTCTCAAAAATGGCTGTACAGGATGATCCAAAAGTCGGCTCTTGGCCCAACGCTTCGTTCCAGATGTGTGTCAATGCTGAGGGGAGTGTATCTTTTTGGACCACTCTAGTGTAGCCGCTGTGGAATTTGGAAGACACTTGTCAAATGAATATTGCTCATGCCGGCTGATGCATGCGCAAATGCGTTTTTTCACATTTTCCAGCCCCTGCTGCCATTTTGAAACTGCCCATAGACAGTAGTGGTAGCACATTAGTTTGAATGCCGGAGATAGGCGTGACTATGTCCGTTCATATTTTCAGGCTATGTTTGAAACCCAGCTCACAGTTAGCCATTTTTTATTGACACATCAACAAGGTCTGTGTGAGAAGAATTATGAAAACAATTTTAGATTCAAATTTGTCTTCGTCCCAAAATACATTGTACCTATTTATTGAAAGCTAAAAAAGCAAGCAACCAGCCTAGCATTTGTATTTGAATTTTTCTTGCAGCTTGTGGGTGTAACTCTGAAGGCTCTCTCAGCCCCTACTGCAGCAAACTGGGCGGGGTTTGTGAGTGTAAGCCAAATGTGATTGGCCGATGCTGCGACTCATGCGCTTCTCTGACGTACGGCTTTGGACCTCAAGGCTGCAAACGTGAGTCATCATCTAATGCCCTCAACAATGAAATATAGCTTGAAATAGTTACTAGAGTTGAATTGATATTAAATGGTAACAAATATCATAGTTTCAGATCATAGTGATCCTATGGATTTTGGTTGTGCATTTGCATTGGGCTGCTGAACCTGAATAAATCATACTATATATCCCAACATTCTGGTTGTAATGTTAAATTACTAGTGGGAGGGTAGCTCTGGGGCCTCGGAGGCAGGAGGCAGGAGGCACTGCAAGGAGGGCCATTAAGGTTTTCCACATAACAAGTAATTACTATTTAAAGCAAATCAGTATTTGATTGTACTTTTCACACAATTGCTGCTTTTTACAACTTAGATCATGGCATGTGTTTGTGTTAAAGATAAACCTTTACATATACATCTATGTAAAGTGCTTTGATATTGGGGGTAGCCTTGAGAGATTTGTTGGTGACAATATACTTCTTTGAAATCTCTTTAAATTCTTGGATCTGATTATATCTCATATAATCGCATTTATTATTCAAATTAAGTAAAGAGAAAAAAGCCTATTCAGGTGTAGTTTTCTGGTCGTAGATTGACACATAGCTTCAATCATGACGGAAATGCAACTAGGATTTCAAAGGACTACCCCAAAGTTTACCCAGTAATCTATGTCTCCAGCGTGTGAGTGTGATCCTCGTGGCTCAGAGTCCGAGCTGTGCGACCAGGTGCAGGGCCAGTGCGCGTGTCGTCGGGAGGTTTCCGGGCGTCGCTGTGACCGCTGTCAGCCTGGGTACTGGGGATTCCCACACTGCCGGGTCTGTGAATGCAACACTCTGTCAGAGATCTGTGACCAGGACACAGGACACTGCATTGACTGTCGAGGCCACTCCAGCGGTCCGCACTGTGAAAGGTACATAAACTTTGCATAATAAAACTTCTTCAATGGTGCAATGGAGCTGACAACATCAAAGCTGACCATAACAATTTAACACCACACAATGAAAGAGCAATACCACACAGTGGAAATCAGCAAAACACATCAGCAGGGTCCTTCCATCCATCCATCCATCCATTTTCTTCAGCTTCATCCGTTGCCAGGTCGCAGGGGCAGCAATCTAAGCAGAGCCACCCAGACTTCCCTGTCCACACACACTTCCTCCAGCTCATCTGAGGGGACCCCAAGGTGTTCCCAGGCCAGCTGAGAGACATAGTCCCTCCAGTGTGTCCTGAGTCTTCCCTGGGGTTTACTCCTGGTGGGACGTGCCCGGAACACCTCCCCAGTGAGGCGTCCAGAACAGCTGCCCGAGCCACCTCAACTGGTTCTTCTCGACGTGGAGGAGCAGCGACTACTTCGAACTCCTCCCATTTGACTGAGCTCTTCACCCCATCTCTAAGGGAGCGCCCAGCCTCATGTTCAGATCAGGGGGGCCGTTCTTCCCAATCACCCCTGTCCAAGTGTCACTGGCGTTTCCCACACGGGCGTTGAAGTGTCCCAGGAGAATAGGAGGATCTTGGAGTGACGTCGTTGTTTATAGTTTTTCCGCGGCAGGCACGTGACTGGGTGGGAAAACAGCATAGAAAGCTTCCTGGATGCTAGAGAGTTAGCTAGTTTTAGACAGTTGGAGAGAGGTTTTACTAAATCAAATGGTCCATTAAGTTGTGTGGTCGGTTGTACGGCCCGCTGGGGCCAGATCAAGTTATTTTTCTAATTCCTTCGGAAAAGAACAGCAAAAAACGGCCGCAGTAAAATGGTCCGCACATTAAAAGCGGGTTCCCTCTTTATGCAGTTATCTACGGTTAACGTAGAAAGGGAAGCCAGGGGGATGAGGGAATAAAATTGAAAAAAAAATTAGTTTTGCAACTACTCTCACTGTACACGGTGATGATGAATTTTAAACATTGCATTTTGGTTGCTCTTCCACGTTTACCGTAAGTAACAGCATAAAGGAGCAACCCCCTTTTAATGTCCGGACCACTTTACCGCGGTGAAAAAACGCAATAAATGGTTTTTCACCCGAACGCGAACCCGCGTTTGGGTTACGCAAGGGTCCCGGGTTTCTATGAAGTAAGAATAAATCTCCCCAGCAGATCGGTGCCAAGACAGAGGCTAGTCTGACCAATGTGTTTTCCTCATCATCCCAGGTCTCTTGGATTTGTTCAGTTCGGTCTCATATACTTATTTTTAGCCTGTCTTTATATCTCCCCTGATCTTTTTTCATTAAAATGCTTGCATTTTTCCGACTGAGTCTTTTAAAAGTACTCGTCGTATCCATGCTTCAGTATGTGGCGCTCTGTCTTCTTGCCTCTCAGCGAGTGCCGCATGCGCACGCGGATGTAAACAAAGATCCTCCTATAACTAAGTCCCCGGTTGGTGCACTGTCCAGTACCCCTTCCAAGGACTCCAAGATGTCCGGGTACTCTGCACTGCCCGTAGGCCGTCACTTAGAGACTTGTCCCCCATCCGAAGGTGTAGGGACGCGACCTTCTCATTCACCGGAGAGAACTCCAACATGTGGCAGCTGAGATGGAGGGCAATGAGTATGGCCACCCCCGCTCGCCGCCTCTCCCCGCGAGAAACGTCAGAGATATGAAGCATCCAACCCCTCTCAAGGTGTTGGGTTCCAGAGCGTAAGCTGTGTGGAGGTGAGGCCGGCTATGTCTAATCGGGGTATCTCAACCTCCCCCACGAGCTCGGGCTCCTTTCCCCCCCAGTGAGGTGACGTTCCACGTCCCAACATCCAGATGTTGTGTGTGTGGACTCGGTCGTTGAGGTCTCCGCCTTCGACCGCTATCCAGTCCTCTCTGCACCAATGCCCCATAGATCCCTCTGCGGGTGGTGGGCCCACAGCAGGGCTGGCCCACGTCGTCCCTTCGGGCTGTGCCCGGCCGGGTCCCTTGGGTTAAGGCTCTGCCACCAGGCGCTCCTTATGGTATGTAAGGGTCCAACCTTACATACATTAATATGATACAATACAATATAACCATTGGTATAAGACAAAACAAGACGACACACACACTCAGACAGACAGAGACCCAAACTAGAGCTGTAATCAGGTCCGAAATCTAAGGCCCAACTTGGCCCAAGCCCGGCAAAATTCAGCTTGGCCCAAGCCTGACAAAGACTGTCAGGGTCAGCTCTAACCCAAACACTGACCTTTCTCCTCTCACTATGCTGTACATTCAGAGCACCACTTCCACATTCAGTTCTTTTTAGATTTTTCAAATGTAATCTGGTTTGAAATTGTTTTAATTTGCTACTTGTGTCAGGTGTATAGAGGGGTTCTACGGTAGCCCAGTGTCCAGAGTTCCCTGTGAGCCCTGTCTGTGCCCGGATCTGCTGCAGAGTGGACGTTTTTTTGCCTTGAGCTGCGAACAAGATCCAGAGAGTCAGATACTCAGCTGCCGGTGCAACAACGGCCACAGCGGTGAGACCTTCAAATAGTTAAACTCTGAATTCAAAGGACACATAAAGCATTACACATAATTATTAGACTTTTAGCCCATAGGTAAAGTTGCAGAAGGTCTTCATGAGCTCATGACTCCACTTGATGGGTACTTCAAACTTATGTATATATATATACATATATGTATATATATACAGTATACATATATATATATACATATATATGTACATATATATATATATATATATATATATATATATATATATAGGGAAAGCCACCATGGAGCGCCATAACCAATAGGCTGGTTTAGTGTACAGAAACCTCTGTGCAGAGCATGAGTTGGAAATCCCAAGGTCACGATGGGAAACTCCTCCAAAGGTGGCAGAGAATGGGCATGCAAAGATCTTGTGGGACTTCCAGATGTAGACTGACCAAATGGTAATGGCGAACCAACCTGACATCGTGGTGGTGGACAAAGGGCACAGGAAAGCTGTAGTGGTGGACGTGGCAATTCCAAGCGATTGTAACACAAAAAGCTTAAGAAGTACTGTACCAAGGGATCAGAGGAGCTGGAGAGGGCCTGGAGGGTGACAGTAGTGCCCGTGGTGATCGGTGCACTCGGGCTGTGGCCCCGAAGCTGGAGGAGTGGTTACAGCGGATCCCTGGAACAACCTCAGAAATCTCAGTACAAAAATGTGGAGTGCTAGGAACAGCAAAGATACTGCGCAGAACCCTCAAGCTCCCAGGCCTCTGGTAGAGGACCCAAGCTTAGGGATAAACGCACGTGGGGTGAATATAGCACTTATTTTTTATGGCAAATATTTATCTAGTAAGTTGCTGCAGCTTTTAAACTTATCGGTCCCATTGAATTTTTCCCATTAAACAAATAACTTTATTTCTCCGTCTGCAGGTGAACAGTGTGAACAGTGTAGCCCTGGTTACTACGGGGATCTGTTGTTGTCGGGGGCTCGGTGTGTTAGGTGTGAATGCAACGGAAACATCGACCCGAACGACACAGAGGCATGTGACGGAGTGACTGGGCTCTGTCTGCGCTGTCTCTACAACACTGGGGGGCACCACTGCGAGGAGTGCAGACCAGGGTACTATGGCAGTGCTATAGACCACGACTGCAAAGGTATGAACATTGAGAATTCTTTTACATATAGAAGAATGCACTAACTACAGTTTAATGAAATACTATGGCCGCTCTGTAGTCTAGCAAATACATTTTTTGTGAAGAATACAATTATTCTACAAAGAATAACACATTGTGGTATTATACAATTGTGGTAAAAGGTTCCAAAGAACAAAAGTCAAAGTGCAAAAGCAGCTTTCATTCTATGCAGCGTTTTTACACTACAAATATGTTTATTCAAAACATATGTAACAAGTAGTCTTTCCCTGCACTAAACATGGTTGGCCACCATTGTGTCTTCAAATCTTATTATACCTATTTAGATCTTTCAACATCCCTACAGGAACATAGAATGCATTTTTTACTTGGACTGTTTAATTTAACTTTTTTATTAGTGTCCAGTTTTTGAGGACTCTCTACTAATTCTCTAATTGCAAACTATATTGCAGGTTGAAAGCATACCCCTCAGTGTGTGTTACAGTTTTTCTCTATTGCTACAACACAAAACCCAGTACCCTAAACCAAATGACCAATTGCCTAAACACATTTAATAAAACTACCCACCACTTTTCACAACCATAAACACAATTCACTTGCAGAGACTGTTCACAAAACCCACCCCCTTTTTCTCAAAACTCTAAACACATTTTGCTTTTGCTAAAACACATTTTGCCTTTGCTAAAACACATTTTCCCACCCCCACTATTTGGCACTCCCTCCCCCCCCCCCCCCCCCCCCCCCACACTATATGAGAAGCACTGCCCTAAACATTGTGTTTTCAATTGTTACTGTACTGTAGTATCTTTTGTGTGTCATGGATCCTCCATAGAGTTACTCATGTTTGCATTGAGTTGTGATATAACTGCATTTTCTGCTTTTTGTAACTATTCTCATAAAACGCACAAATCTATTGTAAATGCCCAAAATATATTAGAGAATAAAAAAGTGTTGCTCAAATGCATCTTGGCAGGTGTGGCACTGTAAAAAGAACAGTCTCACATTCTGAAAATTGTGTTTTCAATTGTTTTGGTAATGTGGTTAATGATGCTCAGTAGTGTTCACATTTTTGCAGACCTTGAGAGGTATTTTGGTGTCAGAGTTTACTTTTGAGGATATGAGCAACTGTTTTGGTGTGATGGGTCGGTTTTGAAAAGAGACTGTGAGGTTGTGTGTACATAGCTTTAGAAAAGTGTTTTGTATTTAGAGTTGTGAGAAAAGGGAGGGCAGTATCGTGAAATGTGTTTAAGCAATAGAGAAAAACTGTAAATATATAGATTGCACATACATGGACATTGCTAACCGTTACCTCAATGAAGCCTAGGGAAATGCTCAGGGGCTACATTTTGACTTTTATTGTAAAGTAAACTCATCCAGCTCACCATTGTGGGCTTAAGAATTTGGTGTTTTAGTGCTCTCTATAATCCTGGTGTTTATATGTTATATTGTCTTTGTAACTCCAGATATGATTCCAAACAACTGGCCAATCTGTCGCCTAATTTGGCTTTAGCTAGCGACAAGTGCAAGTAAGATCAGACTGGTGGCGCTACCAACAAAATTCCGACGTAAATAGTCTGTTTGTACTAGCTCTAATCGGTTTCTTCCACATTAAGGCTAACACTATGGGTGACGTCTGCATTTGATTAGTCCACTCCCAGAATATGGTCTATGGTTTAAAGTGGACTCCTCTTTCCTCAGAGTGCTCGTGTGATCGCCGGGGGACTGAGGTCACCCTGTGCCCACTGCAGAGCCCCTGTTTCTGTGACGCTCAGACAGGACAGTGCCCCTGCAGGTCGGGGGTAAGAGGTGCACTTTGTGACGAGTGCGAGGACGGATATTGGAACATCCATCTGGGCTGTGTGCCGTGCTCCTGCGACTTAGCAAATGCTATGTCCAATGTCTGTGACAAGGTGAGCAATGGAACATTCTCAAATTAAAAAATGCCTAAAAGTTATTATTACCAGTGATGAGAGCAATAATCTGTATACGCCAGGGGTCGGAAGCCTGTGGCTCTGGAGCTCTTTAGTGCCCTTCGAGTGGGGTATGGGTATATTTTATTATTTGTTTTAATGGGCTTTTTGTAAGAGGACAAACATTCTTAACGTTTGCCAATGCTGTAAAACACATAATAAATATTCAAAAAAAGGATCACTGATGGTGGTCACATTAAGGATTCATTCATCAAAATATCAGAGCACCTTCAAAAATCGAGATCATCCAGATAATTAAAGTTAAGATAAGATAAACGTTATTGATCGCAGAGTGGAGACACATTACATGTCCCATTTGGCATAGATAGAATCCCTCAGGGTGTGCAGAAAGACAGGAAGTGTGCAAACATGTATAAAAGGGAAAAAAATATTTAGTCTCTTTTGTGCAAGATATATTATGTACAATAATTTCAGTTGCTGTTTGCGTCAGTGTTCCCAGAATTAAGATACTATAATAACTGTGAAGCATCAATTTATCAATTAATCACTTTTATTTATAGAGCCCTTTTCAACACTCAAGGCGACCAAAGTGCTTCACAATAAAATGACATAAAATACATTAAAACATTTATGCATTAAAACAATAAAATAGTTAGAAAGCATTAAAAAAGTGTCACAGTGCTATTGAGTGTTAAAAGTGTTAAAAGCGAGTCAGAATAAATCAGTTTTGAGCCTCGATTTAAAAAGGCCAAAATCAGTGAGGACACGCCTATCAGGGGGCAGCTTGTTCCAGAGTCTGGGTCCAGCGACTGAGAAAGACCGGTCACCCCGATATTTGTACCTAGTCCTAGATACTTCCAGGATGAGTCGAGATGAGGACCTTAATGATCTTTATGATCTAGCACCAATTCATGTTGTGTTTTAGGTGACCGGTCAGTGTCCATGTCAAACTGAGTACGGAGGTCGGAAATGTGACGAATGTGGAGAAAACCATTTTGGAAATCCTGATCTACAGTGTGTTTGTACGTATTAATATGCCATTCTAGACTCATTGTATGTATGTATGTTTGGTTATGTACAAAAGTGAGGTTTTAATTGTGAATGCATTCAAGGTGGCCAGTTGTAACACAGGTAATATTGTGGCTGCTGTTTTGGGGATATGCAGAAAGTGAATAGCGAATTGTTATAGAACTGATGTCTTGAATGAAACTGATGCTTTTCTGTTAAAGCTGGGGTACCTAGCTATCAAACCACAGACAGTGGTTAATGTAACCATGCATAACCAGTTCCAAAACAGTTTGGTTCTAGCACAGGGGTGGCCAACCAGTCAGAGACTAAGGGCCAATTTTTTTTACTGTGTTACAGCAAAGAGCCACATCATACAAATGTGCACTACATAAACATCACCCCAACCCTTACACACGCACGCACACGCGCACGTACGCACACGAGCAGACACGCGCACACACATGCAACCTGTCTGAGCAGAGAGAGGTGTGCTCTGCTCAGACAGATGTATTGTAAATGTCATCAACATGATAATGACAGAAATGGACTCGTACAGCACTAAAGGGCTGGACTCGACTCTCCCTGGTTTGCGGGCGCATCCACCGCTCGCTTCAGCCGCTCCCCGGTACTTTTTATTAATGGTTTGGCCCTGGTTCTAACCGGGCGAGTCTATACCAGAACAATTTCACGTCAGCGAACATCAATTATGATTCCGAAATGAATGCTTTCAATCTCTAACCAAGAAAAAAAATCAAGTTTCAACCCAGTATTCAGCAGAAACACAACTGTCTTTACTGAACCATGATTCACTCTCTGACTGCGTTTAGTGAAAGATATAGATTTGACACATAACACCAACACCACTTTAGCTGATTTAGAACCACAGACACATGCTCAGCATAAGACCAGATACTTTTGCATTTGATTGAAGACAGACACTCACCAGGAGGAGTTGGCTTATCTCCTGGTGTAACGCTAGCTGGTGTTAGCTGGTTTTAGCATGTTAGCCGATGTCCGTAAATGTAATCCATTTGGTCAAACCACCTCCAGACTTTTCGGGTCTGCCTCTACTTCTGCTGCTGCGATCTTTCATTTCATGGTTGTCACTTTTAAGCTTTTTAACTTTTCTCTGCATTGTCATGTTTGTGGGAATCATTCTGCTCCGTCCTTAGTGCTAGCTCCACAAACACCTTCTGGTTTCTGGTGGAACCATCAAGCTCACGCTGGTGTCCTCTCCTCAAACTGAGGAAGGTGTTGCCCTCCTCCAGCGACCAAGGAATTGTTTTCCGTACGGACGTCATGGATCGAGGCAACGTGTTGTTTGTTATGATATTTGCAACAGCAGAGGCAGCAGCTGCAGAGTGATTGACAGCGCATCTGACCAATCAGAATTCGGGCGTTCTGCTCTCCCAAAATTCCATCCGATGGGCGGGGGAGCGACTGAATTTTGCGTTGCATTATGGGTAACACTTGCCTTCGCAACTTCCGGTTCTCTCTGCCTGGCGCATTTTCTCTAAATGGTTGAGTGTTTTCGTCATTTTCTGTATGCAAATACATTCCCGTCTCTAACTAGTGGCATATCGCGCAAATCATCCGTCCAATTCACATTCTTCCCTCTTAGCTGAACTTCATTCTCATTGTTACCATCTGTCACTCGCACACACAGCCGTTTTCGTTCACTCTGCTCGCTGTCATCTTCTTCTAAATCTTCATAAACACCATCCGCTCGTTGAACTAGCAACAACAATTCCTCCTTTCGTTTTCCCACACTGCAAATACCCTTTCGCTTCAACCTTTCACGCAATTCAGGCACTGTCAATCGTTTGTTGTTTTCGTGAGCCATATTCGCCATTGTATGAAATCAACCGGAAGTGAACTGGGCAACAAACGGTGTCATTTTTTGATCACAGCGCCGCTCAGTGGATGAAATTTTGGGAGAGCAGAACGCCCGAATCGACGTTCGCCAACGTCAGATTGTTTTGGTGGCCTGGCTAGTGGAGTGAAGTCGGCCTTTACTATGGGTCAGAACTACATAGAGAATGAATGGCAGCGCCACCCAGTGTTGCCAACTCCTCAGTACGGAAAGTAGCTATTGGCTGTCCCAAAAGTCGCTAAATGACGTCATCGCCTAATTTGCATAATTGGCTATTTGCAAATAACTGTAACGGACGCTGTAGGAGAGAGGAATAACGTCGTGGGAGAGACAAAAGTGAGTAAAAAACACCCTAAATATGTTTAGAACTACAAATGTACACAAATAATTTCAACATTAACAACATTTAATGATTTTAATGCTTTGTCTAGATCTGTCGCTAGTCGCTTTTTTGAAAAAAAGTCGCTATAGGGTCTGAAAAGTCGCTAAATCTAGCGACAAAGTCGCTAAGTTGGCAACACTGGCGCCACCACCGAGGCGTTTTTAACGCTTGTCGTGTGAAAGCCCGAGAGCCGCACGGAACCAGCCAAAGAGCCGCGGGTTGGCCACCCCTGTTCTAGCACTAGTTTTCAAATGCATGTTTTTTTGGCCTATGTCACAGCTTTACATCCCATTATTGAGACAGAACCGTGAAAAGGACAAGACCACCCTCACTCGGCAATCAGCGCTCAGCCCAAAGCGCCAAATATTGACTAAACATGTTTTTATTACACTTCTGTTTAAATCATCGTATCATTTTCTCCCCAAGAATCAAGTCTTTTCTTGCATGCCAAATTCAAGTTGGACATTTTGTTAGAGTATAGAAAGCCAAAGAACCATGCTGTAAAAAAAGCACTCAAAAATCCACAAAACAAACAAGGCCGGAAAATGTGATTACCACATCATAATGAAGGACGACTGTGCACCATTTTCAGTGCAATCATTTAAAAACAATCCTTATCTCTAATATTCTTTTTTTGCGTACTGCTGTTTGTGATTTTTTAGCTTGTGAGTGTAACCTTGAAGGAACACTGCGTCCGTCCTGCGACTCTGAGACCGGAGAGTGTAACTGTCGCGTTGGCGTGATGGGTATTTTCTGTGATGAATGCGCACTTGGATATGACTCCGCCTTCCCCGAGTGCAAAGAGTGCCATGCCTGCGCCAAATACTGGGGGCACCATGTGTCAGACGTGGAGAGAGCTGCGCAGACGATGAGGACATTAATCCCCAGCCCACCAAACCAGCTCCAGCCTGGGACTCCACAACACCAAGCACAGATGAGGACCCTCTTCTTTGATCTGGACCAAATGAAGAAAAACATGACCAAGCCAACCACTTCCCGTGTGGGCAAGATGGAGGTACTCTTTCAGAAGATCATGTGAGTAAAGCCTCATCAGCCATCCAGACATTTGAATTTTAATATATTTATGTATATGAATGGGACAACACTAACCGGTGGATTTTGCATGTTCTCCCCGTGTCTGTCTAGGTTCTCTCCGGTGCTCAATTGTTTCCGCTACCACTAAAAACATCTACAATAGGTTTGAATGTAATGAATGAGTGAATGGATGGTGTTGGTTGGGGGTTTTCTGTTTGGCGTCTCGCTTCCGTTATCACCGCGTGTTGAGTGAATGAAAAAATATCTGAACTCTGAACATTGTAAAGCACTTTGGGTGAAGTTGGTCTGTAAAATATGCTTTAGAAATAAACTTTGACCTTTGATGGACACAACCGTAGGCTGTAAAAACCTGCTCTTTGGGATTGTAAATTAAACTGTCACTCACCTCTTCTGGACATGTCCTCCTACTGCCACCTTCTGTAAACAGTTAATCTGCTTCTAAGTTAAAGAATTCTCCCCAGCATTACCTTTCATTTTCAGGATATACTCTGTTTTTTGACATATTAGGGTCATTTAATGATGACTTGACATGCAATTCTTACATATGGCTACTTTAATTCTGGTTAAAATTGCTGTGGGCCAATCTATTGTTACTATCAGTTTTTTAAGTTCAGTCCATTTAAGTGTTCATGTTCATGAACACATTCATAAACCATCACTGACCTCTGCCCTTATGACCGTCACCTTATGCTACTGTCACTTTAATGCACTGTACCGCACTCTGAATGGTCTATTGTGTGCACCTAGTGTAATTTTATATAGTAAACTGAAGAAATGTATGTAGATTTTTATTTATGCAGGCCTTCTTGATTTTATTCTGCTTAAACTTGTTTGCACCGAGAGCCAAAGCAAATTCCTAGTTTGTGACTTCTTGTTACTCACATGGCAATAAAAAGATTCTGATTCTGATTCTGAAAAATAATACTAGCAACTCACCCTAGCAAATGGTGATATTTAATTATTTATCCTTTTTGTTTTTCCTTAAGGAAGCTGAAAAACAGCATAGACCCAAACTGCATCCTACTTGACCCAACTCCTCTTTTGAATACTGAGATCGACAATATTGGCCTCCAATTCAGGAACCTCCTGTCCCGCCTCCGGAACAAAGTCGAAAACCCAGATGACGAAGACGATGAAGACACTGAAGGTAAGTAGACGTCCACAACTCATTAGATTATGTCCACCTGATCGCTTACCACACACTCTGCTGAATCATTCAATTAGTTTATTCAGTTCTTTTACACTGAAGTACATAATTTAAAGTGGACATAACATTAAACCTTTTCACAGCTTATTACTATGTTATATTTGTATTCCTTTGTAATTCACAAACTGACACTTCACACATTTTGCCTTTACTTAAAGTAAAGATTTCAAGTCATCATTACATGGCCCTAATCTGTCAAAATGCATTATTAACCATGCTATTTTCCATTACTTCTTTACCTGATAACAGTAGTTCAGCCGAGATATTGGAATTTCATAATTAGGCCCGAGCCCCAACTGGGGTACGGGCCTATTGCTTTTCCAACGAGTAATGCCTGGGCGAAGCCTAGGCATTACTCGTTGCCCGCCCCCTAGAGAGTGATACAAGTGTTACATGGAGAGACTGGGGTTTACCTTTTCAATAGAGACACACAATCACTGATCATAGAAATTCAAAATGCACAGTGTCGCTCCTGTCAGGGCAGTGGGAAAATGGCGCGTCAGCGCCACCTCGGTTGCGTTGTTGCGAGGTTGCGAGGGCCCTTAGATGCCGCTTGCGGCTTTAATTAGTTTTGTTATTGTTTTCATTTTGATGTTCTGCCCTCCGCCGTTTTACCAATCAGAAAGTCTGTGATCCGGGTTTCTAGAACTCACTGCTCCGAAAGTGGCTGCAGTACCACTTTTGGCCAGAGTTTAAAATACTGCTCCTATAAAGATGCACTCAATGATTTATCCAGACGCAGTTTTTAAAATACTGTGGGGAAACGTCCCTAAACCCCAAAAGTATTCATTTTGTGATGGACACGACCAAATGCCTGTAGCCTAAAAAATAAATCATAAATATTTTGGAGCGTACCAATAGAACAAAACCAATGGGATGCGTTCATGATGTATTTAATGTATTTAAATGGCTTTTTAACATCCCGGCTAGGGGACTACAGATGGCCTCTCTATTAAATTGCATTGTCCCCTTTGAAATAAACTAAACTGACCCCCCGCACCCCTCCCCCTCCTTATTTTTGACCGGGCACGCACCTGTCTGAGTTGTTATTGTTTGGGAAACCCCAAACAATAAACCCCAAAGTGCCACTTTCATTTCTGCCACCCACTCGCCCTGTTGTGGCAAAGAAGAGAAAAATAGATGAAGAAAAGGCGTTGTATAAGAAGACTCGGACACAGCCAGGTCTATGTAATGTAACGGCAGTCGAGTTTGGCTAATTGCTTGCTTGTTAGGGGAAGTAAGCGTTTGTCATGTAAGGCAGGCAAATCGCTCACAGACTTGAGCCCTATTTTAATGTAGTGCTTTTACATATCAAGCTGGGAGAAATGCCGTTCATGTGTGCTGGGAGTTGGGTTTTAGTGGAGGGGAAGGGGGAGGGAGAGTGGTTTTGGATGCTAATGCTAAGCTAACATAGATCCTTTACTGCACCTTTAAATAAAATCCATGACTTTTCACAACTCCACTAAAACCCGCATTGTTCTCTTACATTTGTTCCAATGTCTTTGACTAACCTCCACTCCAAAAAAACAATTTATCTGTTTACTGCAGATCTTTTGGAAGATATAAGAAAGAATTTTGAGTTGTTCCAGACTGAGGAGAGTCGTGTGAAAAATGCCACGAACGCAGTGGAGGACTCGGCCTACACCCGTCAGGAGGCCAAACATAAATTGAGCACATGTGGAGGAGAGGAGCTTCTAGGACCACTGGAGAAGAAAGTCAAAGATCTGAATGTCATCAACTTCAATAAACAGGTGAAACATATATTAGATTTAAAGGGTGTAGATCATAGACAGCAGGAGTGGACAATGCTAAAATGTTTGTTAAATGACACCCAATGGGGATGTGCTCGTGGAATCAACCAAAAGGACTGGACCATCCAAGTAAGTTCCCCAATTTGCAGTGAACAGTAAAATTGGGGAGTACATGGGACAAGATCAATCAATTAAAATGTTGTATTTATTTTCTTTCCATTAATTTATTTGGAGGACAATGACACAACGAACGCTTGAAGTCAAATGTGTGCTCTTACTACTGTCCTGTATGTTCGTTGCAACACTCACTGTGGCACGAATAAAGAATCTCTCATCTTATCTTAGACGTCAGTTGCGTTTTTCATTATTTTCTCCGTCCATATGTACAGTGCCTTGCGAAAGTATTCGGCCCCCTTGAACCTTTCAACATTTCGCCACATTTCAGGCTTCAAACATAAAGATTTAAAATTTAAATTTTTTGTCATGAATCAACAACAAGTGGGACACAATCGTGAAGTGGAATGAAATGTATTGGATAATTTAAACTTTTTTAACAAATAAAAAACTGAAAAGTGGGGCGTGCAATATTATTCGGCCCCTTTACTTTCAGTGCAGCAAACTCACTCCAGAAGTTCAGTGAGGATCTTTGAATGATCCAATGTTGTCCTAAATGACTGATGATGATAAATAGAATGCACCTGTGTGTAATCAAGTCTCCGTATAAATGCACCTGCTCTTTGATAGTCTCAGGGTTCTGTTTAAAGCGCAGAGAGAACCATGAAGACAAAGGAACACACCAGGCAGGTCCGAGACACTGTTGTGGAGAAGTTTAAAGCCGGATTTGGATACAAAAAGATTTCCCAAAGCTTTAAACATCTCAAGGAGCACTGTGCAAGCAATTATATTGAAATGGAAGGAGTATCAGACCACTGCAAATCTACCAAGACCCGGCCGTCCCTCCAAACTTTCATCTCAAACAAGGAGAAGACTGATCAGAGATGCAGCCAAGAGGCCCATGATCACTCTGGATGAACTGCAGATAACTACAGCTGAGGTGGGGATGGTGTGTTCAGGGTGATGAGCTGTGTTGCTTTTACGCCAAACATATCGTTTTGCATTGTGGCCAAAAATTTCGATTTTGGTTTCATCTGACCAGAGCACCTTCTTCCACATGTTTGGTGTGTCTCCCAGGTGGCTTGTGGCAAACTTTAAACCAGACTTTTTATGGATATCTTTGAGAAATGGCTTTCTTCTTGCCACTCTTCCATAAAGGCCAGATTTGTGCAGTGCACGACTGATTGTTGTCCTATGGACAGACTCTCCCACCTCAGCTGTAGTTATCTGCAGTTCATCCAGAGTGATCATGGGCCTCTTGGCTGCATCTCTGATCAGTCTTCTCCTTGTTTGAGATGAAAGTTTGGAGGGACGGCCGGGTCTTGGTAGATTTGCAGTGGTCTGATACTTCTTCCATTTCAATATAATTGCTTGCACAGTGCTCCTTGAGATGTTTAAAGCTTGGGAAATCTTTTTTGTATCCAAATCCGGCTTTAAACTTCTCCACAACAGTATCTCGGACCTGCCTGGTGTGTTCCTTTGTCTTCATGGTTCTCTCTGCGCTTTAAACAGAACCCTGAGACTATCAAAGAGCAAGTGCATTTATACGGAGACTTGATTACACACAGGTGCATTCTATTTATCATCATCAGTCATTTAGGACAACATTGGATCATTCAAAGATCCTCACTGAACTTCTGGACTGAGTTTGCTGCACTGAAAGTAAAGGGGCCGAATAATATTGCACGCCCCACTTTTCAGTTTTTTATTTGTTAAAAAAGTTTAAATTATCCAATAAATTTCGTTCCACTTCACGATTGTGTCCCACTTGTTGTTGATTCATGACAAAAAATTAAAATTTTATATCTTTATGTTTGAAGACTGAAATGTGGCAAAATGTTGAAAGGTTCAACGGGGCCGAATACTTTCGCAAGGCACTGTATCATGTTTGGCTGTCGACAGAAAAGCCACAGAAAAGCGGACTATTGCTAATGCGGTAATGCTACCTGCAACTTTTACATTTAAATCTGCTCCAGTGTAAGGGGATGTTAACAAAATGATGATAAAGATCATGTAGGGTAAATTCGGGCAAAATTGGACATTTCATTTAAATGATAAAATGACTGGGGGGAGAAAGTACGGGTCAACATCCAGTTCGCCAATCCTTAACTTCTCGAAATACCACTCTTTGTGAGCCCTGACAAGATGTCCTACTTCCACCGATAACATAATCGAAACATGTGCTTGAAGAAGCCAGGTCTCGATTTAGGAGAGGAGTCATGCTTTTAAGAGTTGTAGTCCGTTTTGCCCTCGCCGCAATGCTAGTTTCCACTTCCACTTCCATCGTAAACTCATGCACAATCACGTGACTGGATGACGTCGATGCATCTGGTCAATAGATCCAGGACCTAAGCTACGGAACGAGGATTAAGGCCACCTAGCACCCGCAGAACGTGGATAGGGGTTGTCCTGAAGCAACTCCCAGGCAGGTCGGGCAGGGCAGGTCGGGCAGGGCAGTCCGCTGACGCAGATGGAGGGTCCCGGGTTCAGAGGTCCCGTCATCGCGCCACAAAACAGACAATGGGACAACGGGTGAATAGCAATGAACAGACTACAGTCAAAATCCAAAAAATGCAGACGGATAAAGTAGAAAGGAGGAGAGGATAGTGTTCAAGATACCATACTTCTCCCAGAAAACTGACTCCTTACACAGCTTGACTGACAATCTAAGATTTTTTGCCTTCCCTGAGTCTTACCTTGCTAACCATATGCTAAACCTTGAATGTAGACTGTGTCTGACCAAAGAAGAGACGACAGCAGCCATAGCTAGGCTTGCCCAGGCTACAGCACCAAAAAAAGTGTGTAATCCACGATACATTGTTAGATTCAAGTTTGTAACAAAGGTTGAAAGATGCAGCGGTTTGCCGGAATGGGTCCCGTACAAGCAGACTCCAAAACATATTTGCTAAGCTTCTAGGGATCTACATATCTAAACAGTTAATTTAAAAAAATCTTCAATTAAAGCCCTAAAAATCAATGAAAGGCGATGTCAGCAACTTTAGTTGTTCTTCATTTAAGAAAATAATGCATATATTTGACCATATGACTCTTTTAAGTAATGTATTTCACTACTCTTGGCAAAACCACAACCAGTATTATTAGCTGTATATGGAGAAAAGTTGACCGACTGCATGATTTTATTTGATTTATGAATTTCAAGATTTTATTTGTCAAACCAAGTGAATGTTTGAAATTATATTTTTCTCATCCTTGATTGTGGAGCGGGGCGTGGGCGAAGAGGGGTGGGAGGGAGGGCAGGGAGTTTAGCTTCCTGATGGCCTTATGAATGAAACTGTTCCGTAAATTCTGCAGTCTCCTCCCTGAAGGCATTACCCTGAAGAGCCTGTGTGATGGGTGCGTAGGGTCTCTGGTGATTCTGACGGCTTTGCGGGTGAGACGGATGGAGTACATGTCCTTAATGGTGGGGAGAGGGGCTCCACAGATCTTCTCTGCTGCTCTCACGATGCGCTGGAGGCTCCTTCGGCAGGAGGCAGTGCTGGTGCCGTGCCACCCAGTGATGGAGCTGGTCAGGAAGCTCTCTACAGTCCCTCTGTAGAAGTTGCACACAACGGAGGCCGGGACTCCTGTAGCGCCACTTGTGACGCCTCCACTGTGCTGCAGATGCGTGGGGCCCTCGGTGACCTGTCAGCGCTTCAGAAGATGATATCTCTGGATTTGTAGGTCTTAGATACTGCTGAAAAAGCCTTTAGCTCAGATGCTAACTGTGTGTTTACTTTTAAAAACACATCTTCTGTTCATTGCTAGCAAAGAGCTTTGGCAGTAAAAAAATCCGCTGAACTCCACAAAAACATGGCAAAGATGTACAACAACATCTTGCAAAACAATGCGGATCACAAAAACTGCAAATGCAGTTTGCAGAAAAGGGTAGAAAAGGGTAGAAACGTCACCTTGTCAAGAGAGAGAGAAGCCGCAGCATGTTCATGCGCCGCCATGGACCATTGTTGTCCAATCAGGAAGTGGTGGGGGTAGGCATGGACTGGTCAAATTAAGGATGGCCCTTGACATTTTTCTTTCCCTCTTTTCACAATTGAAAAGTAACTGGCATTCACTTTAAGGAATTATTGAACTTAATATTTTTCCTGTTTGCAGATCTGCGGTGGCTCTGGTGTGGACTGTTCAGACTGTGGAGGAGCGCTCTGTGTTACCTGGTTATTTGGACCGAAATGCGGAGGTCCAGACTGTGATGGCATCGTTTTTCAAAGTCAGGACGCCATTGAGACAGCCAGAAACACACACGATAGCATCAAATCACTGCCTCTGAAAATACAGGAAGCCCGGGATAAGGTCTGTGTTCATGCAATCCCAACCTGCAGTGCTACCAAAACCGCCAAAACACCCTAACCCTGTCTATTTTATCAAAATGCCTTACATTATATAAGTGGTAAAACTTAAAATTGTCTGCCTTTTCATTTGTGTTGCCACAATACTACACTTAAAACTAAATGTTTATACTATAAAAAATTGTCATTTCCAATACCACCAGGATCTGTTAGTTTTTTTTCCCTTCATATTTATTGTTTTTAAACTCAATTTATTTTTAAATAAACAACAGCAGTCAGACAACTTCACAAAGTCGTAAAGTTAGGTTAAATAAATATATGCATGAAATAATTGTTTATAGTCATATACAGTATGTTAGAAAATCCACCCTTTACAGCAGGGATGTCCAAGATATATGAAAGGGCCAAAACAACTAATTTTCTACAAGCCGAGGGCCGGACAAATTAGGATGATTGCATGTAATTGAACCTAGACCTTACACACTGTGTCATATTTTATTAAAAACAAACTTCCTTCAAAGACAAAATGTTCTTAACATTAAATTAATAATCTATTATGTTCTTATGGCTCTATGTGACCGGTTCTAATACTAATCAAAAATCATCCCAGGGGCCAAAATGATTTATTCGCGGGCCGGATCTGGCCCCCGGGCCTTGACTTTGACACCTATGCTTTACAGCTTAAATGATTATACAGTATCTACATTATTTATACTGTTTATATAATGAAAATGTGCAGTTCTTTCTTCCATTATTCAATGAATTATGAGTTGATGTAGTAATAATTGTAATGTAACATTTATTTGTAATTTTCTGTTGGTTTTCAGATGGAGAGAGTGAATCGCACAGCCCTGGAAACCAAGGCCCAGTCCAAAGACATGCAAGACCGGATCAACTCCAGTAAAGAGTCCTTTGAGAAAGACAAGGACCAGATCAAAGAACTCATAAAGAAAGTTAAAGACTATCTGCTCGGTCAGTATCTATCTATCTATCTATCTATGTTTTCTATTGTTTGCAAAAATGTGTGATAAAGTCTTTGCTCCATCTCTATAGACAATTTGCTTCCTGCAGAAGATGTAGAGAAAATGGCTCGAGCTGTTCTGAACATAAACCTGCCACGGAGCCCAGAGCATATTCGAGACATGATCCGGGAGCTCACAGACCTCATAAACAGTACTGCAAACCCAGAGAGGGACCTGACAGCGCTGGAAGAGGAGGCCAAAGCCGCACACGAGCTGAAGGACCGGGCCCACGCACTCAAGTTAGTGCCCCATGAATGCTTTTGAACAACATTTTACATTCTACAAGGTTTAATTAGTATAGCTATTGTTCAATTATCTTGTGCTGTGAGCTCCTCTTTCCTACTGTTCTAAAACGTGTGATGCAACACTGAAATGTGTGTTATTTGCCCCACTGTGGGACGAATAAAGGATCTCTTCATCTTAATCTTAATCTTCACCTGTATATTATTAAATATATGGATAAGGCAAATATGGACCATATGAGGGGCCAATCATTAGAAAGTTTACTTCTAATGCTTTACATGTTGTTTTGTAAAGAAATCGAACCAAAGACATAAACGTTTCGGACATCACAAAGGACATTTATGACGCAGAAAAGGCCCAGGACAAAGCCAACGATGATTTGGATGCCGCCAGTGTGGACCGGGACAGTGTCCGTGACCTGCTACAAGAGGTAAACTAAGACATGCCATGATTTTGAAAACAATTATAAGATGTGAATGAACAGTTTTGACGTCAAAGTTTATGTAACAATAATATGAAAATAATCAGTTGGAATGTCAAACAATTGTCAACTTTTATGTGTTGTATATATTTTTGTCACACAAAAATATATTTCAATAGTTTATATTTATTATCTTTTTTTGTGCACCTACTTCTCAAGTTGAAGGCTTTGGAACTTTATTTTAAGCATAAGAATAATGACAACATATGGTGAAAATTTACAAATATTGTTGATAGTATTAAATGGATCTTTGGTGGTTTAAAAATATACAGTATATATATGTCACAATTGAATCAAAATTCTCAGTGTTTACAATTTACTTTTTAGCCAGTGGAAACCATTATTTGTTTGATCCCCATTAGTCTTTATCTATCTATCCATAGCCGTTAACATTTTCCTCCTAGGAGGGTGGTTGACCATCAACGCGGGGCAAGGCTCATGCACCCGCCAGGGTTATGTCAATTCATGCATTCACAATCACTCTCCAAGCTCCTTGCGCACAAACACAACGCTCTCTTCATGCCGTCATTCCATCCATACCTTACCAGGTCACCTAATACTGTGACTTTTTAGAGCCACGAACCGTCAAATATTAATGGCATGGACCGGTGTTATGTCGATACAATCTGTGCAATACAATCTAATGAATGTATTGCACTGTTTTGGAAATGTGTTCAATGTGCTAAGTAAATACAGTGGACTTGTTTGGACAGAACAAAATAATTCTGTTAAGTTCATTCGTACTAAAATTGTTAATGGATAGTCCTAAATAAGTCTGTTCATTGTTCATAATCTGTTCATTGTAATTGTTGAGCTGCTGCTGTGTTTCAGATGAAAGACAAAGTGAATGAGGTCGAGTCAAGGTTGATGGATCCACGACTGGAGGATATGAACAACGAGATTGACGCTGTACAACGGAAAACTGAGAAAAACAGAAAACAGGCATTGGAGGCAAAGGACAAGGCAGAGTCTGCTGTGAAGAATGCATTCGACTCTGTACCGGTAAAACTACTTTCCTGTTAAGTCTGATGGTGCCTTCATGTGCTCTGGTAATTATGGTTAATACCACTTGAAGAAGTGGGGTGACAGTGGCTCAGTTGGTAGAGCATTGCCCTTTGAGCCTGAAGGTCGTGGGTTCGAGCCCACCACAAGACCTACTTCACGACTCCCACTGATGATTGCTGTCGTGTCCTTGGGCAAGACACTTAACCCCACTTTGCCTGAAGCGCCCACTGAAAGATCTCAGCTCATGTGGACTCACCATCTGCACGAGGATCAGTGAGGGGCTTGTGCTATGTGGACTGGGTGCAGCTCTGACTGCCACCCCCCCCGACCCAGAAATGGATTAAGGGGAAGAAAATAGATGGATGGATGGACCACTTGAAGAATGGGAAATTGTACATGAAGTCTTATTTTCTACTGGAGATCTAGGAGATCATTTTGAGCCCTATCCATCATTTTGATGGATAGGGCTCAAAATGATCTCTGGCTGAAATACTGCAGCAGGTTTTGTTGTAAATAACGCACTTTTAGCCAATTGTGAACATGTTGACTCATATCGTGACGAGTATTCCACTCACCGCTTGACAATATCCCCAGTCGAGGTCAGCAGCTCTCCACCCGCACCCTATACGGCCTTGGCAAAGCACTGCTTCCCCCTCTTGATGGGCCAGGCGGTTTTTCAGAATCTCTTTGAGGCCGACTGATAGATGCTCCGACTCTCCGAACTCCTACAGGCTTGGCCTCCTGGTACTGGACAGAGTCCTACAAACCATCATGGCTCATTGGACTCCTTCCTTAACATGCAGCCTCGCGGAAATTCAATTTGGAAGACGTCAGCAAAGCCACCCCTTCCAGGCCGGCCTCGCAGCCCCAGCCTATCGCACAGCAAACGCCCATTTCCAACCAACCTACGCCGGCTAGGCCAGCCGCTTAAAAGCGGAGAAACTCCCACTTTACGGCCTTCTCGAAGCCTTGCAAAGAGTCATTTTGGAGGAATTGCTTTTGTCTACTCACGCTTACTCGTGCGTGTCCCTGCTGTCCTCTGTCTTGCTGCGTGTGGTCTGCTCCTCCTCCGCGTCGCTGCACCTGCTGCGGGTCTCGTGCTGTGGTCCGTGGGTCTTTGCCGCTCTCCTCCTTTGCGGGCTCTTTCTGCGGGTTCGCCGCTGCTCGTCTCGTCGCGGCCTGCTGCTGCATACGGCCGGTCTGGCCCGGTGCGGTGGGAGCCGTGCGCATCCCTGCCTCCTCGTGCCGGTACGGTGTGGTCCCGTTGTGTTTTCCCTTGTCTTCTGGCGTTGTGGGTAAGTATGACGGTTTATTCCCCTCGCATTGTACTGCAGGCTCGGTTTTGGCCCCGCGCTTTGTACTGCAGGCTCAGTTGGCCCCGCGCATTGGTGTGCAAGCTCTCAGTTTAAAGCCCTCGCATTGGTCTGCAGGCTCTCTTTAACCTCTCTTGGACTGCGGCTCTCTCTTGGATCCCTCTCTTGGACTACAAGCTCTGTTTAAATCCCTCTTTGGACTGCGGCTCTAAGTTTAAATCCTTCACTCTGACTGCAAGCTCCGTTTTAATCCCTCACATTGGACTGCAAGCTCTCAGTTTAAATCCTTCACATTGGCCTGCAGGCTCTATTTAAATCCCTCTCTTGGACTACAAGCTCTGTTTAAATCCCTCTCTTTGGACTACAAGCTCTGTTTAAATCCCTCTCTTTGGACTACAAGCTCTGTTTAAATCCCTCTCTTTGGACTACAAGCTCTGTTTAAATCCCTCTTTGGACTGCGGCTCTCAATTTGAATCCCTCACATTGGACTGCAAGCTCTCAGTCTAATCCCTCACTTAGGACTGCAGGCTCTGTTTGGATCCCTCACACTGGACTGCAAGCTCTCAGTTTTAATCCCTCTCTTTGGACTACAAGCTCTCAGTTTTAATCCCTCTCTTTGGACTACAAGCTCTCAGTATTAATCCCTCACTTTGGACTGCAGGCTCTGTTTAACTTCTTCACACTGGACTGCAGGCTCTCAGTTTAAACCCCTCACTTGGACTGCGGGCTCAGTTAATCCCTCACTTGGACTGTAAACTCTGTTTAAATCCCTCACACTGGACTGCAAACTCTCGGTTTTAATCCCTCACTTGGACTACAAGCTCTCAGTTATAAATCCCTCATTTAGGACTGCGGGCAATGTTTGAATCCCTCACACTGGACTACAAGCTCTCAGTATTAATCCCTCACTTTGGACTACAAGTTGTTTAACTCCCTCACACTGGACTGCAGGCTCTCAGTTAAACACCTCACTCGGACTGCGGGCTCAGTTTTAATACCTCACTTTGGACTGCAAGCTCAGTTTTAATACCTCACTTTGGACTGCAAGCTCTGTTTAAATCCCTCACATTGGACTGCAAGCTCTGTTTAGGTTCCTCGGCGTCTCATGTCCCGCAACCTCTCCCGGCTCTCCCTGAGCCCCAAGTTGTCACGCGGCTCGGGCGCGGGAGGTGTCCGTGGGCTATGTCATTGGCCCCTTCTCTCCGTCTTGCTCTAACCCGATGGGCATCGCCACCCGCAAGCACTCCAGGGAGAAGCGTCTCATATTCGTCCGCTCCGGGCCCGCCCCGAGCATCAACAGCCCCTTCCCTCCAGCGCCCTTCTCCCTGCAGTCCGCTACCGTGGACCACGCGATCAGGCTGATAAAGACTTTCGGCCCCGGCTCCTGGCTCTCCAAGGTCGACATCCCGGACGCGTTCGAGCTGCTGCCCATCCACCCCGACCACTGGCGCCTGTTCAGGGGTCAAGTGGTGTCAGAGTTCTTCTTCGCCGTGCGCCTCACCTTCGACTGCCGGAGTAGTCCCTCTCTGTTCAACAATCTCTCGGAGGCGCCGTGTCGGATTCTGCTTAGTTACGCGCGGCTCCCCTCTGTCCTGCATCTCCCCGATGATTTCCTCGTAGGCAACCCACCCTCAGACTGCTCCGGGGGCTCTCTCCGCAAGCTCAAGCTCGCCTTCTCTGCCCTCGGATTCCTTCACTCCGAGGAGAAGACCACCGGCCCCGCCACCGCTTTTGAGTTCTCGGCATCCGCCTCGTCACGCACGCCGTGGAGGCCTCCCCCCCGCCGGACAAGCTTGGGCGCATCCGCACTTCTCCCGGTCTGCCTTGTCCTCTCCGTCACTTTCGAAGCGTCAACTGCTCTCTCTCCTCGGGCACCTCAATGATGCTATCCATATCATCCCTCAGGGTCGTTCTTTTATTTCCAGACTCCTCTCCCTCGCTGGCTCCGTCCCCTCCCTCAATGATGCTGTCTGCCTGAACGCTGAGTGCCGCTCCGACCTGGCATTCTGGTCCTGTCCGCTGAGCCGCTGGAACGGTGTATGTTTTTCTACAGCGACGTCATCCCGTCCTCAGATGCCCTGCGTTTCTTCACGGACGCAGCCCCGTCCGTGGGTTTTTGGGGGGTTTTCCAGGACCAGTGGTTCGCCGAGCCCTGGCCCGACTCTTTCCCTCGAAGCATCTCCTCCGCACTTCATGAAATATATCCTGTGACCGTAGCCTGCGTGCCGTGGAGCCATACGTGGCACAGAAAAAAGATTCCGTGATGTGTGTCAATCTCAACGTGGTAGAAATAATTAACAGAGGTCGTTCGTCCTCTCCCCAAGTCATGTCTTTCCTCAGAAGCATCACATGGCTCTCAGTCCTAAATAATTTCATCATCACTGCTCGTCACGTCCCCGGTCACCTTGACCGTATTGCGACTGTCTCTCTCGCTTTAAATTCCAGGAGTTCCGACGCCTCTGCCCCTCTGCCAATTCAACGCCATGCCAGATCCCCTCCATGGAATCCCTCGCCCTGGACTAGTCCCTCCGTCTCTTCACCTTCTCCTCTCCTCCGCTTCATCCTACATGAAAAGGGGCCTCTCACCTTCCACGCGGAAATCGTACAGTTTTGCTTGGAAAGTCTACTCCAGCTTTTGCTACGCTCACTGCATTCCCCTAATTCCACTCCACTACAAGATCTCTTACATTCGCTCTCTTCTCGCCGGGATACAATTCCAGGCCCGCTGTCACAACCCTGCTTTCTCCTCTCTATTCTCTGATCCATCAATCAAACTCGTCATCAAAGGCATTCACAACTGCACCCCGCATTCCTCGGACCACAGGCGCCCCATCACACTGTCCATCCTCCACCAGCTCTGCGCCGCACTTTGCTCCAGCATCTAACTGGTTCAGAGCCCAACTCAAGTCTGTACTGCTGCTTTGTAACTTGTCCCCTCATTTCTACACAGCTCACTCTTTCCGGATAGGCGCAGCTACGCGCGCTGCTTCCCTGGGTCTTCCCCATTCTGCCCTTCAGCCGTTGGTCATCATCTGCCCTCTCCTCATACATCAGGCCTGACACTTCGACTATTCTGGCAGCCCAGCGTCTATTGGCATCTCCGTAAAGCACTTGCAAACTCCCTGGTGGCGGCAGCAGCTGAGCATTTATAAATAGTGTTGCCTTTATAAATAGTGTTGCCTTTATAAGTAGCGGTGCCTTTATAAATAGTGTTGCCTTTATAAATAGTGTTGCCTTTATATATAGCGGTGCCTTTATAAATAGTGTTGCCTTTATAAATAGCGGTGCATTTATATATAGCGGTGCCTTTATAAATAGTGTTGCCTTTATAAATAGTGTTGCCTTTATATATAGCGGTGCCTTTATAAATAGTGTTGCCTTTATAAATAGTGTTGCCTTTATAAATAGTGTTGCCTTTATAAATAGCGGTGCATTTATATATAGCGGTGCCTTTATAAATAGTGTTGCCTTTATAAATAGTGTTGCCTTTATATATAGCGGTGCCTTTATAAATAGTGTTGCCTTTATAAATAGTGTTGCCTTTATATATAGCGGTGCCTTTATAAATAGTGTTGCCTTTATATATAGCGGTGCACGTACGACGTCCCCTGCTAACCAGGCCTGCAAAACTCCATCAAACACACAGCCTTTTGGGGATTGTGCGCGCACTCTCGCAGGAGCCTCGCTGACTGAACGCCGCACCGGGGCCTAGGGCGCCAAACTACCTTCAATAAAATACTTCAAATGCATTTTGTCTCCTCGTCTCTCCAGATTGAAATGCAGCCTCGCGGAAATTCAATTTGGAAGACGTCAGCCAAAGCCACCCCTTCCAGGCCGGCCTCGCAGCCCCAGCCTATCGCACAGCAAACGCCCATTTCCAACCAACCTACGCCGGCCAGGCCAGCCGCTTAAAAGTGGAGAAACTCCCACTTTACGGCCTTCTCGAAGCCTTGCAAACCACCGCCTCCCCTCCTCCTCCTTTTCTCACCCTGCCTCAATCATGCCTCTTCCTGCTGCCCGAATGCCGCCACCAGTGCCTAGATCCCAGGGGATTGTGCGCGCACTCTCGCAGGAGCCTCGCTGACTGAACGCTGCACCGGGGCCTAGGGCGCCAAACTTCCTTCAATAAAATACTTCAAATGCATTTTGTCTCCTCGTCTCTCCAGATTGAAATGATGGCATCTCTTACAACCAATGTCCACCACCAGGTTTGTAAGTAAGTAGTAGTAAGTAAGCTTTATTTATATACCGCCTTTCACAGACCAGAGTCACAAAGCGGTTTACAATTGTTATTTTGGGCACTTGTCTCTCACTCCACACAGAGATGGGAGCGGGGTTGACGAACAGGAGGCGCATGCCAGACCTATTGTACATATTTTTAGTGGTAGGGGAAACCGGAGTACCCGGAGGAAACCTACGCAGACACGGGGAGAACATGCAAACTCCACTCAGAAAGGCCCTGGTCCGGCCGGGATTCGAACCCAGGACCTTCTTGCTGAGAGGCGAGAATGCTATCCACTCAGCCACCGTGCCGCTTGGGAGATTTGGGAGAGAGTCGGTATCTCTTCCTCCCCCAGGAGCTCAGACTCTTTTTTTCCCCCCAATGAGGTGACATTGTGCGGACTGGGTTGTTGAGGTCCCCTGCCCAGTCCTCTCTGCACCTTTCCTTCATGGATCTCTCTGTGGGTGGTGGGCTCAACGTCCCTGGTCCCTGCAAAACAGTGAGATATAATGGGTTGGAAAATTACAAGACCATCTGAAGCTATAATGTCAAAAAGTCATTGATTTTTCTAGGGTCATGAATGACCACACACAAGTTTGGATTAAAAATGCCACACTGATTGGCAAATCGAATATACATATGATAGCTTGAAGGTAAATAACATAAATAGTGGTGGAAGCTACATTTCTAGCTAAACATCTTTATTTATTACTTTCTGAGAAGTAAACAAACAAATTAAACCAAAACATGTATTTATTTTTTGGTTGGTCTCTGAAAAACCAGCAGGTCAACACATAATCGCATAATCAACACATTTTTCTACATGCTTGTTTTTCATGTGTATTTCCCTAAAGGCTCTGAATGACGCCCTGGAAAAATTTGATGAACTGAAGAATAAAAAGTCAAACCAGACGCAGGACAGTGAAGCAGCCAAACAACTAGAAGAGATAAAAAAAGAGGCAGAGGCGCTCAAAAGGGAAGTGGAGGACAAACTTCAGCAGATAGAAGGTACGTTTTGAAATTACATTCAAATCAATGGAGCGTTCTACTGCAAGTCAAAATATTAATGTTTTAATGTTTTTAATTACCTGTAATGGTGATTTTGCTTGTTTTATGTGATGATTTGTGCCTTGTATGGTGTGGACTGTGAGGCGCTTTGTGTTGCCCTGTGTAGGAAAAGCGCTCTATAAATAAAGATTGATTGATTGATGTACGGGGAAACCATACTGCCGGTCTAACTAATGGGCCAAAAATTGGCCTTTCGTGGAGTGATTCAAAAGGGCTGCGGGGGCTGGAAAATGTGAAAAAATGCATCTGTGCATGCGTCACCCGGCACAAGCCCCATTCATTTAAACAAGTGACTTCAAACATTCACAGCGAGTAAACTAGACTGGTCCAAAAATAATCACCCGGAGCTTTGGGCCAAGAGCCAACTTGGACCATCCTGTAAAGACGTTTTTGAGAGGTCTGCCAATGCTATATGTTAGCATTGGCTAATTCTTATTCCAGGTCCACCCCCATCGGCCCGGGGTGGTATTGCAAGCATGTCAGTGCACGTCATTTTGGCAACTTTTGAGCCGGGACCCGCCCCCACTGGGGGAAACTAATGCTACACCTGACCAAAATACTGTGTAAATCTACCAACATTGCTAGCAGCAATATTGTTCTTCATTGCTAAATGTTTTCATTTGATGGTGTTCCTGTAAATAAACAAACATGCATAGCCTAAATAAATAAACTGTAAAATACATCAATAATGATTTGCAACAATCTTTTTTTTTTTTTTGAGAAAAGTTTCATACATCACCCGACAACTCATCAAATGAATTTAGTGTGTATAATCTTGTTTTTCGGCAAGGATTCAATACAATCAATTAATTAGATATCCCATATCAACCTATTAGATTGATGTTATCAACCCAATAGACCAGCTGTAAGCTAGCGACAGTTTCGTTAGCCACAGGCATTACGTCATTTTCCTGACGCATGCGCAAAACCGGCTCAACGGGCAGACCCTCTCGACAGAACACCGGTTCTAAGCATTAATTTGGGAAAGTCCAACTGGTCAGATTAAACCAAAATAGAGCTTTTTGGTAAAAGGAAGAAAAGGATTATTGATAATAAGGTATGCCTTGATGAAAATGAGAACTCAAAGAGGCAAGGCAAAATCTGTTTATGTGTGTGAGTGCGTGTGCGTGTCAACAGGTAGAATTTAGCCCAAGTTTCTTGGTGCTCCTTGAGAAGTACTGAAATCAGATGTGATACTTTTTTTTGTTATTCTTTAGCTGTAAGCTGTTCTTCAGACTGACACTGGTGTTGTGCACATGTTTCAGATCTTGAGCAGTGGATTGAGAAGCTGAATAAAAGAGGACAGGACAAAACGACTGAAGTGGTAGAACTTCTGAAAACGGCAGATTCTCTCCGAGAGGCCATCACCCGCCAAGCCGAGGAGTATGTCACGTGTTCATGAGGCCTTCAAACCGGGGACTATTCTCAAGAGTCATTTTTCACGCCCCACCATTTTTTGTAGTCACTATGACAGGATTGGACTTTTTCACCAACTAATCAAAACTCTCTAAATCAGTCCGTGAGCAAACACTGGCTACTTAGTGCACTATTTCACGATCTAAATATTTCTCTGTATTTAGACAGCTTTTTAGAAAGAACTCGCTGTTTTTTTCCTAATAAGATGAAAACAACAAGATATGTTCTGACTTGTGCACAAAATGTCCCTTTTCCAAGACTCTGTTGGACTAATAACATGTATGATCGATGGGAAAAAAATAAGTTAGCTACTCCAGCTTTAATTTTTATGATTCAAGCTGAAGGTGCATACAAATTAATCAAAAATACTTCCTTCCTGGTATTTTCAGGTTTGGTTAATTGATTTAACACCTAAAAATAATTATATTTTCAATGAGAAGACAGAATACGGAATGAAGTTTTGTTGCAGAGAGATATTTAATTTAAAACATTACATGGGTGAAAACAATTTTGAGCTGTAGTTAAGCTGTGTGGGACATATCAATCATCTTACAGTTGGCTAGTGAGCAGTAGAGGACATTAAAAATGTCCAACTTAAGCCATTATTGAGACAAAAGTGTAGAACGCCTCCTTTCAAATGTGCTTACAACATATTCTGCAGTATTACTTTGTTTTCATAATGTAATTTCCTTCTCACAGGTGTTTGAGAATTAAATATAGGATACTTAAGTATGGTGCTAATAAGACTTCACTGTTGTCAAAAACTACATTGGCAATATTGTGGCCTATCAAAATTAAAGTTTATATTTTTTATGCAACTTGTCTATGACTACTTTTACTACAGCTTAGCATAAACACTTTTACAACTATTAATTTCTGGGGCTGTGGTCAACTAAAGACATTTCTAATTAAGCTCATAACCTTGGATCTTATTCTTGCATGCGTGTCCTCAATGACGACTTAAGACAATAATAAAAATGTATTATATTATATAATATGAATTTCATGTTTTGATGATTGAAATGGCTTAGCGTTGCAAGCTCATTGAAGAAGTGATTTCATGTGTAAGGCCTAGAAATTATTCCGACAACATCAGAATTCTTGCCAAAGAGGCAAGGATATTATTTGGTCCCTTTCTCTCATTAAAGGACTTTTTATTTATCAGAGTGCCTCGGATTTTACCCTGTTTTTACTTTTCCACAGAAAGGGTATCTTTGCTAGGCCAGGATATTATTTTTCCCTCAAGCATATTCAAGAACATACAGTATTTTTGTCCAAAAATAATAAAATAGGCTACAATCTTTAGCGTACATTTTCTTTTGCCTGTGCGATGAAAAAAGGTGGTTCACATGAGCAAACTTGCCTCTCCACATACCAGACCTGTACTTGAGTTTGAAGTTGAACCTCGTTAGCCTGACTCTAGCCAGACCCTTGTAGATTGCTGCGCAGCGAAACCCCTCTGGTGGAGCATGGCGGAACTGCAAGGGTCTAGCGAGATTCAGGCCAGAAGCCCGTAGCTTTGCTGTTACTTTCTGTCTTGTAGCTTTTACTTGTGTTATATGTAATAAATCCTTCTGACTTCATATTTCTGACTTTGTTTTTGCACCATAAATGAACACCCAAGTGACCGCAGGAACTTCGGGGTAATTTTCCATGGCCATCCCCGACTTTCCCCACAGGGCCGTTTACAGGAACTTTTACGTGGCCCAACGGAGTCCCTCCACCATGCTTGGTACTCTGGTGGGACTTGAGGTTAACCCGGCACTGATTGGCTAAAGCTAGCACAGGCTCAGACGCTCAGACTCCAGCAGAAAGAAGCAAAACAACCGGCATTAGCCCAGCAGCATTAGCCTTGCAGACACCACTGGAAACAGCGAACAACAGCACGGCATTCAGACGGGGTTTGAGGCATTGCGGCGAAATGAAAAGCTAAATTAAGATATATCAGCTTCACCTCAAAGCACTGGGGATTCATGACACTCCAAAACAAGCCGTGAAAAATAAAAATATACTCAAAGACCACAACAACCGGAGCAGTTACAACCGTAAAATAAACAAATGGGTTTGCCGTAATGAGCTTCGCTTATGTGGCAATCAAAACTCATGACTTCGCCGAGTAGGACCACTCGGCGACTCTGCAGTGGAGACACGGCCACTGAGAGGACCAAAGGAGAGGAAGGTTCCTGTGAAAGTTTCACCCCGCTCCTTTTACCAGGAACTCCTGCTGTAGAAATGCGGCTCCTGACAGTAGTTCACTCATAATGTTGTATTTAAAGTAGTACTAGAATTTAATAAACTGCTATCCAGAATATATAACTACAAATAAAATATTTCGGGTGTTCATTTTGACATGTTCAGATGAATTATGTTAAAAAAACTGCTTTGAAGTGGCACCTTTTCACTTCCGCATAGAAACGCTAGGGGGCGCCAAAATGGCGGCGATGACGTAGGAGAAGGGCATCTCACAGCAGCAGCAGCAGTCTGGGCTGAATCTGTAGGAGGTTTCACTGTCATCTGAACAAGGTATAAACATATTTTCATCCGTTTTGTACATAATAGTGTGCAACTCAGATTCAGATCAGATTTCAGATTCATTTATTTGCCATTTGCAGTAAAACCACATTGGAAAAACTGTGCAAGACTACCCCGGTGTGCGCCAGACAGAGACGACACACACCAGAGCTCTTGCCACGGCGCCATTTTTCCGGCGCCATGCGACAAACAGTAGAATAAACAGCAGAGAGCAATAACATACAGGTTACAACAGACAGTTGGATAGAAAACATTGTGCTTTGTATAAACCACGGATTTTTTTCTCGGGATGAGCACCTCTGGCTGCCGGTCCAATGTGGCTGTCAGAGGGGGGCGGGGTCAGGGAGGGGGTGAGTCGGAAACACAGTGTGGAGGGGAGGGGAGGGAGAGATCAGAGGGAGGCGGGGGGAGAGGGATCCAAGCTGGAAGACTGAAAGAGTGTGAAATTTTTGTAGAGTCCAGATTTATTATGATGGCCTTGGCCCGAGGAATGTGAGATAAGAGAGGAGCGAAGACACAGCATGGAGAAAAACGCGTCTTCCTGTAACAAGGGACAATCTAGTATGCATTCTAGCAGTCAAAAACAGGCAGATATTCTATTAAATCCAATTAAACCGAATTGCGGCGCCCTCAAACCCCGTACACAGGGGCCAATCCAAGCCGGGTCAGAGAGTTCAAGCGTGACAAACAATGTCATTCAATCTCAATTCCAGAGTTTTATGCCCATCAAGTGAACGAGCTGCGAGATCTCTGATCAACTGTTCCACCAAAACCACTCTTCTTTGTCCAGCCACAGCGCTCTCAACCACGACTCGGTTAAGCTCCTTGTACATCCCATCAATTTTGTTGGCCAGCAGGTCGTGAATCTTGCGAACTGCCATGCCTCCGAATTTATGGTAGAATAGAACCGCTCCAAACCCAAACAGGAGGATCCCCACCACCAAAAAGCCAAAGATATATACGTCTTCCGAATCTTCAATGGACAGGACCTACTTCCTGCTCTGGACAGAGCAGTCGCATTCTCTTGCTGCTCCTCGCTTGCTGCTTTTTTATCTCCTTTAATCATTTTTGCTTACATTTTTATTCCACAAAACACGGATTACTCCTTTTTACAAACTTCAACACAAGACTGGTGGAATTTACCTAACTTACAGCATGTCGGGAGGACGGGAAAATAGAACAAAACTTTGCGACGGCTGTTTTTCACTCAAACAGGAGCTAAAACTTCTTCAAGACCGAATGTTTGTACTTGAATCAGAATTGGGGCTGAACACAACAATACCAGTGAAAGGAAATGGACCACATGGACAAAACGTAAGTTATGATGACGCTATTTCATTTCCCAAAATCAACAGAGACAATTGTTGGAACACATATGGTGCCAAGCCCAAACAAGGCAAAGCTAATGATAACAAGAGTGTCATAATGCCACAGCAAAAATCTTTAATTACAAGAAACCGCTTTTCACCACTTTTGGAAGATGAATCAGCAGTAGTCTCTCAGTCCCAGTCTCAGTCTCAGTCAAGGTCAAATGCAGCTGAGTCGCTCTTTATCGGGGATTCGGCGATAAGAAATGTAAATATGCGTAATCTCAAGGTTCACTCAGTACACTCTGCCAAAGTGGATGAGATAAGGCGGTTGGCTCCGAGGCTTCTGTCTGAGACCGGCGGGGTAAAAAGATTGTTGATCCACGTGGGGGCAGTAGACGTCTATGACAACACAAGTGAAAAGTTGAAACGGGATTACTCTCTATTATTGGACGACCTTGCTAAAATGGACACAAAAATCGTTATCAGTGGCCCACTACCAAATGTGGACGGGAAGCAAATGAAATTCAGTCGTCTGTATCAGCTAAATACTTTCCTACTCAACGAATGTTCACGCAGAGGACTTGCCTTCATTGAGAATTTTAATCTGTTCTGGAATAGGCATGAGCTTTTTGAAGGGAAAGGGCCACATCTGAACACTTACGGAGTAAAAGTGCTGATGGATAACCTTTCTTTTGCCCTGAGACCTCAGCCTGCGCAGCGCGTGCAGCCATCGAAAGGGAGGAAGCCGACTCCAAAAGTCTCTGCACCTCCACCACCTCGAAGGATCTCAACACCACCACCACCTCGAAGGATCTCAACACCACCACCACCTCAAAGGATCTCAACACCACAACCACCTCGAAGGATCTCAACACCTCCACTGTCATCAGAAGCAGCTGCATCATCACCAGCAGCAGCTGCATCATCACCAGCAGCAGCTGCATCATCACCAGCAGCAGCTGCATCATTACCAGCAGCAGCTGCATCATCACCAGCAGCAGCTGCATCATCACCAGCAGCAGCTGCATCATTACCAGCAGCAGCTGCATCATCACCAGCAGCAGCTGCATCATCACCAGCAGCAGCTGCATCATCACCAGTAGCAGCACCAGCAGCACGACCACCACCACCATCCTCATCCCCA